TCGCGATCGCCGGGTAGACGTCCACTGCCCTATGGGGTTGAGGCATCAATATTTGACAGCCTCTATCTCAAATAGAAAGCATGTCTGGGCTTTGCGCCCATTAGGACATTTGATCTGCACAACATGGCTTTGTGTCTGGTATATATTTGCGAACGCATAGGGCGTATAGAGTCAATCCACTTGACGCTATTTTTTGCATTGATGGTTAAAACGACATAAAGACAAGGATATTTTGTTCAACAAGGCGTCTCATATCATTTGTTATTATAATAAGACAATCCTGTGCTGTATGCACTTAAGGAATAGCAAAGTATCTATACAAGATATTCTCCCCCAGCATTCGCAACAACATTAAGATTCATCAGCGTATCATTATACTCAGATGAGGGCCCTTCCTTACCGTAATGTATCGAGGTTTCCTAGCATCCTCCCGTTGGTTCCCGTCATCCACCGTTGCGGCTATTGTATTTCATTTGTCAACAAGTCTAATGAGATGCGGGTTGTGGGCGGGGTGAGGGGAAGCAATTATCAAGACTGCGGGGGGCGAATGCCACCCACGAATCGTTCATCTAAGCTCGATTAACAACTTATGTAGGGATGAGGGAGATACAGATTCTATTAGCAAAATAAAAAATAACAACAATCTTCTATTCAGTTGTTCTCGTAATGAACTGAAGATATTATTTTTCCGACCGGATATATTTAAACAATAATAAAGCTCCTTGATTACGAGTCTTCAAATGAAAGCACGTTACAACCTTTTCCATCCTGCTGTCAAAACGTAACACGCTTCTACTTGAAAACTTGAGATGAAGGAGCTTCATTACAGTTTAAATACTTCCAATCGGAAAAAGATATTTTTAAATTCTTTATTTTTTTTATAACAAATCGTTTTTAAAATTTTTTATTTTATTTATTTTTAACTTTTTAGTATGTGTGGCGACAAGTAATTAGTTTGTTAATTTCTATATAACTTTCATATATTTTATCAATAGGACTCCATAAAACTTCTTACTTTATTTGCATTATGAAATTTAGGTAGATATAAATCATATAATGACAAATCAATATTTATCACTTTGCTGATTATCTTTCCCTGATCAAGCCCCTTCTTTTGATACCCTTAGTATAGGGGTGACTATGGAAATTATAAATCTTTTTCAATGGCCGCCATATTGGATTTATAATGATATCGCGTTACCCTGTTATGTTTCTCTCATAAAGCCCTTTGATACCTAAAATATATCTTAGGGAAGATGGTAATTTTAAACATCACCCTGGGGCGGTCGTCACATTGGATTAAGAATGACTTCACTTTGCTTATTACGTTTCTCTCATCAAGCCCTTTCACTTAATACCCATGTCGTAGGAATGACGATGAAATATGTAAATCGCCATTTTGCGGCTGCTACCATATTGGATTTAGAATGACGTCACTATGCTTGTTGCGTTTCTCTCATTAAGCCCCTCCGTTGGATACCCATATCATAGGAGTGAATATAAAAAATGTAAATCGCCATGTTGCGGCGGCCGGTATATTGGATTTAGAATGACATCACCAAGCCCTTTCATTTGCTGACGATGAAATATGTAAATCGCCATTTTGTGGTTGCCGCCATTTTAGAATGACGTCACTTTACTTATTAATTAATTTTTTATCAAGCCCTCTCATTTGATACCCATGTTGTAATGACGATGAAATTTAGGTAAATCGCCATTTTGCAGCGGCCACCCTTTTGAGTTTATAATTACGTCACTTTACTTATTGTGTTTCTCTCATCAAGCCCTTCTATTTCATACCCATATCATAGGGGTTACTATGAAAATGATGAATTGCCATTTTGTAACATCTGCCATATTGGATTCAAAAGGGCGGCGGTTAGTTCATTTTCTGCTGTCACGCAAGCCAACCGTTTATACAAAAGATCAGATCAATTATTACGGTTAACTGGTTCAAAATCCAATCCCAAGATTTGCCCACACATTACAAACAAACACATACTAACAAACAGGTCAAGTTAAATAAAAGCTTCAAAAAAACCGGCTTGATTAGGCACCCTGGCGGTCTTTTTCTACCTAAGACCTCCTTTTTAAGTTATATCTTGGAATAGCAAGTTATCAATCATTAATTTATATATTATATTAATGCGGAATATGTTCTCTATAAACATAAAATAAAGATTCGTAACAATTATCCCTTGATTACAAATTTTCTGCGTTTTAATTTGTCTGATTAAGATCAGAAGCGTCTGAGTAATACAATGTCTATGACTCATACCAAAGCAAGAAACGTCAAAAAAAGGTTTGATCGTTGTTCTTTGCTCGTAGCTCCGCCGACACTGGACCGACTTTCAAAATCTACGAGGTTTATTTATCCTTCGCATAATAGTAAGTAGTCAAAATTTGAGTGACTATGGAGGGGCCAAGGATCAGGGAACGGCAGACCGAAATGAAAAAAACATAATATTCTATTTATAGTCTTGTGATCAGTTTTCTTAAGCGCTCTTCAGAAATTATGAATATAGCTTAGCAGTTTCAAGTCAGCCTGAATTCGACTGTGCATAATCGAAAAATATCCTCAACTGCAGTTCTCTGTATGATGTAGAATATACCAACTTTTATACAGATCGTGGCAATAAAATATGGCAAAGGAGCTTTCGAGTAGATGGCCACAGAAAAGTTTATGACAAACTGCCGGTCACGCCCCCTGGAGACCACAGACGTTGGTATAAAAGAGATATACTATCAATTATATGACAAAAACACATGTACTTGGAGTGACACGCCTCCAAGCACTGACCGCGCTGACCACCGAACATTATTCCTTGAAGACAGGATCGTAATAAGAAATTTAGGGAAGAGGTATTTCATCATTCGTAACACTGAATTTTGAAGATCGACTAGCTACCCATATATAGTCCTAGTTTAACATCACTCCCTTTTAGCGAACTTTGATGCAAAGCACACTTAAACCATGTCTTTAATGAGTTAGTTAAAAATAGGATCTGATAAGTAAAGGTGCATTTAAATCCTAAGTAAGGGTTCAATTCTAGATATCCCGTTCTAGGACAATTTTATTAACCGTCAAATTTGGAAAAATCACTTTTTCGCATATATTAAAATAGTTATTGCAGGGGACGAAAATACTACTAATACTACTCTTAAAATGAGACCACATAAGGCTAATATGCTGTAGATGTTGATTTGTAAATATAAAAAGGACATCCAATAGGTTAACTCTGCACTTTGGACGCAATGCCCTTATCAGTAGATAAAGGCGTATGTTTAGCACACACTAGACCCTCTGAGAAAAAAGTTAGCCAAACAGGTCCTTTCAATAAGACCATCGACATTCTTTCCCATCCCTACCGTTAGTGAATGTCGAAACAGCCCGATACCTAACTCGGGCAGACGTGGCACCGTGGTAACGCGGTGTCAGCATAGAAAACACTATGCGGTGCAGAAATACGTGTGAATACCATAACACTCATCACGGTCGGCGCACGACACCAGCAGCAACCGTGACCGATACGCGATCCGTCTCCTGAGAACATTTTTCTATTTTTTTAGGGCATTATACAGAGACATATGATGTGTGAATTAAAAAAATAACAGGTGCATAAAATTACCAATGTTGAGAGCTCTAAATTTTTTTCAAAAATAATTATCATCCTCCTAAACGACAAAATATGGGGTTTGATCGATTTTTACTTTTTTCGTTTTAAGCCTTTTTCTCTGCCGCCACTAGACCAATTTTCGAAAACTTTTACGTACTTGGTATAATAGTAACATTGTGTAAAAAAATGATCGAAATTCTAGCGGTACTTTTCAAGTTATAGGCAGTTAAAAAATTAGCGAACCGACTGTCAGATAGACCGACAGACAGACGGAAATGATTAACATGGTTTGTCGCGATGTACGTGTCATAACATCCAAAAAACATATCTCTTTTTCAAAAATGTTTGCGATAACACGCCAGTAGACGTGGGAAGTAAAAAAACGTTAAATATCGTAGACTCCCAAGAAAGGTTCATTCAAGAATGCTCAACGGTTCCTGCAAATTTTTTATTTTTGCTTTTTTGACAAAAATGGCATTTTTTGGAGAGATTGTTCAGCAACTTTAAATCATAAAAATGGCCTCAGCTTCGACTCATCATCTAGGTACAGACCTATTCTAACATGGAACAAATCGCATTAAATTGGATACTATAGAAGACTGAATAAATCGAAAATGAGGAACGGAACGAAGAACATAGATCTCAGGAATGCGAAGATTTTAAAAAACCAAATTCAGAGCCATCTAATCTCTAGCTTTGGAGATTTGAATTGGCCAACCAGATCACGAGCCCTGACGGCTCTATATTTCTTGCTTTAGGTCTTCTTGTCTTATCTACCGCAACAAATCACCAAAATGTAAGATAAGCACAAATATATACAAACTGTAGACATTTGAGCCATATGAATTTTACACATTTAAGTACCACCATTCGTGAAACAGGTCTCAATTTTTCATTCCCAAGATAATGAAGGCCAACTTAAATTTAACCAATTACTAAATTTCATTGTATTTAAAACCCAGAGCACAAAGTCTATGTCATTTTTAAAAGCTAATATTTTATTGTGGATAGTATAGTATAATCTAAATTGGAATCGATAACATGTACATAACTGCTACACTAAAAGAAAGAACAAATATTAATGTAAAAGATTTTACACTCTAGAACACTTCTCCGCACCGCATTTCTAAAGTCTGTCAAATTCAGATTTATCGTCATATAATTTTTAAAGAATCTAAGAAAATATGCCTACACCACCAGCGCGGCTTCTTACAATGATTATTTTTATGGTTTTACAAATTCTCCTGCACCTATGGTATGTTACAGTTTTGATCAAAAGTTCTTAGGAAGCCTATCACTGCACGCTATATGAATGGAAAGGGACTTCAAAGTTTCTATTAATATTACTTGCGATTGGAATCTTATAAAAAAAAACAAGAACGCTTCAAAGTATTATTTTTATTAGTTATAAAAAGGATGCAAGGCACCTAACATCAAAAACAATCCACCACTGCAACACCATAACCAAAATATAAGTAAAATAACTCTTTTATTATTTACAAATATTTACATTATACGTTTAAGATAAATAAAGACTTCATATATCATATTTTTACAATATGTTACAACTAGAACTGGTAATAAATAAGGTTATATGTAACATAAATACAGTGAATCTTAACACGCATTAATTGAAAACTTGTGCAAAGGGAACAGGTGACTTCGGGAGTATGTAAGAAATGGTCGATTTTGCAAAAAATATTCATAAAGAGAAGTTTGCACAAATTTAGAAGACAAATTGTTAAGAATTGTTGATACGTGACTGGAATACTGGAAACTTTTTATAACCTGCATATCGTCAGCTAAATGTCTGAAATTTCTTGCTAATTGCCTAAAAGATTAATAAATTAAGAATACGGTTATCACGACTTTTCTTTCAAGTGGACAGTTGAAATAATTCGGTTGGGTCATATCTTTATTAAGCGCTTACGCCTATGGAACACTGCATGAGTTTGAGAATTGCAGGTTTCTCCACTACCGTGATCTGAATTATTGGTGCAATGATTATGAATTTGCAAATGGATTTATCCATACGATGATTTATGAATACTCTTCACAAAATCAGTCGACAAATGCACAGGATTTTACAATAATACTCATAAAACAATACAAATGGTGACTAATATTGAAAATGCTAGTAGCTACTGGTGTATTATGAAGATGTCATCACAATGCATTGGTCCCTCCAGCAGCACATTTTTAAATTCTCAATCGTACAACACTAACATTACTTTATCCACTTTTAATTGATATTATTTCCGAAATCTGCTCAGAATTTTCTATTTAAGAAAATTGGCAAACAATAATTCGCATCATAACAAAACAGTTCTGTCAGAAATACATTTGTTTAACTCGCAGATTAACGTGTTTCATAAATGTATATTTATGATGTGTCAGTAAATCTACCAAACCTAGAACTCATCTAGGAAATTGATCATGACTACATCTCTTGTAAATATTGAACAAATCTGTACAATTTTGTCAAACCTGAACCTCAACTAAATAAGGCTTCACTCTTAGCTGGCTGCACCACTCTAAATGATAAATCATAATTCAGTTTTCCCGAAATAGCCAGCCAAATTTACTTGAATAATTACATTTTCTGGATTTTTCAAATTATTTATTAGAGCTGCCTGGATTTAGTAGATATTCTCCAGGCAAAATTACAAATTGATGTTTGGCCGCAAAACAACGTTTTGTTAACCGACACTCGCAAGTGCTCAAAAAATGGGATCTGGATGACTGCTGAAGTTACCATTGATAATGCAAATATCAGTCTTTTATTAGAATTTTAAGCACTCACAATTGTATACGTGGTTCTGTGGATGAACAGTCAGTCTCCTTTTCCTTATTTTCTGAGTCTTCAATTTTACCTTCTACCGTATTTCCTTCACCTGCAAAGAGAAAGGTGAATATAACTTCTAAAACAATCCTGGTGATCATCTCTCTTGCCACGTCCTTATTCTGATCAAACAACTAAAATCACATATACGATTGCTAACATTTTGGAGGCTGCCACGGCAGTTTTTTTCAAAGTGTAATGAATGGCAATTACCCCTACTTTGTTCCGGAAGATGTATTCAGAAAACAACTTCTTCCCGTTCAAGTGACTGTACATGCGTTAAGGAATAATACCTCAATACCGATTGCCGGGTGGCGGTACAAATCCGCCAACGTTCCACTTTAGGTCTATTTAACATAATTAACACACAAAAAGGTGGTGGACAAGGACCAGTCGACCGAGGCGGTAATGCCCGCTAGCTTTTCCCATGGTGTCTTATAAATGTCCGTATGTTTCCACACTTAAGCTACGCAGACCGTTATCTCCCCGAACAAAAAAATTAATGATGATGGATCCGTCGAGTACTAAGAATTTCGGACGTAAACTCACTCCACTCTCGGGATGTCCGGGTGGACGGTGGATTCGAGGGAACAACATCGAAGATAAAATTTGTTTCACGAACATCTGCGGGATTAACAGCAGCATTGATGCTGTTCATCACTACTTGCAATCCAATCTTCCCGCCATGATTTTCTTGGCGGAGACAAAAATCTCAGAGTCTGCTCCGATTAAGCATCTTAGCTTCCCAAATTACGATAAGAACGGGGGAGTTGTGGCTTTTGTCCACAGCAGCCTTCGCAATGCCAAAGATCAGCACGATATAGAAGTTAGGCCGGTTCCTGATTTGTCGGTGCGGCGGCAGTATGCTCGGTATACGCGGTACCGAAAACTTATCTTTTCTGATTAGCGCGGGATGTGCGGAAGCGGGGAGGGATCCGTTCGGTTTACCGCGTCTCGGCACGCTCGTCCAGGCGGCGCTCGGGATTCACCGCAAGTACAGGGTTTGTCCGGAAAGTAATAGGACTGATTTTCTTCCGTCATGACTGTACTTCGCAGCGTGCGCGCACCGACTGGATTCGGTAGAGGGCGTTCCTAGCTAACGAATGAGCGGCTTGTCAGTTGTCTCCGAACACTTGGAAAGTCAGGACAGGCATTTTCGCGCGACGTGTTTCTGTGAGTGGTGCAAGCCGAAAATGCAGCGTTCGTTAGAGCAGAGGTACGCGATTAAATTCTGTGTGAAACTCGGTAAATCTGCGACAGAGACGTTTGATATGATCAAGCAGGCTTACCCAGGTGTTGCTTTAGCAAGAAGTGGTGTGTTTCGGTGGCACCAGGCCTTTTTGGAGGGCCGGGAACAGGTCGCTGATGAAGACCCTGCTGGAAGACCTTCGACTTCAACAAACACCGATAATGCTGCAGCCACAGCGGTGGCCGCAGTAGTAACCTCTTCGGTCTCCTGATCAGTCGCCGTGCGCTGTGCGGGTTCGAGTCCCGTTCCAGGAGAAATTTTTCTCTTGGCTATGGATGTTGTGATTGTCCGTAGGTGGTAGACAGTCTCTGACTGTCGGACGCGGAGGTACCACCCGGCGGATCTCGTAGGCGGAGCCAGAATGTGTGCATGTTGCATGCACACGTGTTCCCTCGCCAGAGTCCGTGTGGCATTCCCCCTTTCGCCTGTATCCCCCTATAGCCCGACGGTACCCAATGGGTGCTTAGGCCTTAGGCCTTCGCGGTAGTTGGAGTATAAAAAAAATGTGATGCAAAGTTTTGAACTCAGACCGTCGACTAAGTATTCGTTTAATTGCCCAGATGTTAAATTTACCAAAATCTGTGGTTTATGACATTGTGCCACAGCATCTGAACATGCGCAAGGTGTGCGCGAAGATGGTCCCAAAAGTGCTCACTGACGACCAGAAGTTGCGGCGAGTGGAAGTGTGCCAAGAAAATTTGAACGTGTGTGACAGTGACCCACAATTTTTGAATAACGTAATCACAGGTGACGAGTCGTGGATCTTTGAGTATGATCCCAAGACAAACAGGCCATCTTCCGAGTTTCACACGACGGCGTCTCCTCGCCCCAAAAAGGGAAGAATGAGCAAATAAAAAGTGAAAACGATGCTCATTGTCTTCTTTATCATCAAAGGCATCGTCCACCATGAATTTGTTCCTTCTGGACAAACCGTCAACGCCAAGTTTTACGTGGAAGTGCTCAGGAGACTCAAACGAAGGGTCAGTCGGGTCCGACAAGATACTCGGAGACGACGTCTCTCCACAAAACGAGCCGTACTGCAGAATTTCTTACCGAGAATATACCGAGTAATGCGTAGATGGGAGCAATGCGGTATTGATTCGGTAACAGAGCATACCGACGCCGCACCGACAAATCAGGAAACGGCCTTAGGCACAGGGTAATGTCGCAGCACAATGGCAGTCGGTCTTTCTGGACGTTGGCCAAGCACATTGAAAACAACTTCTCACACAGTAGCCTTCCACCACTTACGTGCCAGGATGGAACGATTGTAACCGACCCAAAGGCCAAGGCGGAAGTGCTTGCCAAGATCTTTACTGCCAACTCCACCATGGATGTCCCCCCCAACGCCCAAGTGCTGTCGATTCAGGCAAAGGACCTTAAGGAGGGTGCTATTGTCGCTCGATATAAACAAAGCTTCTGGTCCAGAATTGATCCCTACCATTGTACTGAAGAGGTGTGCAGCGGAGCTTCCTCCAGTTCTTTCGCGTCTCTTCCAGATATCTCATGAATCCGGCACCTTCCCAGAAAACTGAAAATTTGCAGCTTGATTAGCGACAGGCAGTATGGTTTCCGGCACCAGCAATCCACAGTGGACCTCTTAGCTTGCGTCACGCAATTGTGGAATAAACTCATCCAGTCTTATGGTGAGGCTCATGTCGTTGCTTTTGATATCACAGAAGCGTTCGGTCAGCTGTGGCACGCTGCTCTCTGTTCTCTCTCTCTCTAGCCGCAAGATATCCGTCGTAATTGACGGGTGCTCCTCTTCATCCCACAATGTCAACGTAGGTGTTCCCCAGGGATCGGTCTTTGCTCAGACACTGTTCCTCTTACGTATCAACGACCTCCTTTCCTGCACGATCAACCCAATCCACAGCTTCGCTGATGACAGCACCCTACATGCAGAAATTCAGAGTGACAAGCCGATCTCTGACGAGAAACCTGGAGGCTATCACTGCTTGGGGACGCAACAATCTTGTACATTTAAATGCTTCCAAAACGCAGTATTGTACCTTGACGAACAAACAGCGTCCTAGCGCTCATCCAGTTTCGATGGATGGCCGAGTCCTGCCAAAGAGCTGTTCATTCCGGCTGGTCGGAGTCCAGATCACCGAGGACTTGATCTGGCACGAACACATCTCATCAATAGCGGCAGCTGCTGGGAAAAATCTAGTCCGTTTGTTTAGGGCTAAGAAGTACTTTTCTCCGCATGACCTTCTCACTCTATATACTCGAGTACATCTCACACGTTTAGGGTACTGCCGCCCCGACTACATTATGTATGCTTGATGCTGTCCAGAGGAGGGCTGTCCGACTAATCGATGACTCTTCTCTACCAGACAGTCTCGGAACACTTTCGCACCGGCGGGCCGTCGGCGATCTAGCTCTCTTCATCGCTACACCAACGGGCTTTGCTTCTCAGAGCATGATGCCGCCGCGCGATGTGCCTGCCAGACAGACCTGCCTGACTTCGGACTTCCATGCTAATCGTGTCGAACTTCGTACATCCAGAACTGGCCCATACGACCGCTCCTTTGTCACGAGGGTTTCGAGATTGTGGAACAATCTACAAGAGGAAGCTTTTCCCAGTTCTACTAACCTTAGGCAGTTCAAAAATCGGATTAAAAAAATGTCTTTGGGATCCTCGTAGCAACTGCGGTGTCCCGGCATTTAGGCTTCTGCCTACGCAGCTGCTTCGGTATAAAACAAAGGTAATTTAAATTTTATATGATACCTCCTTAGGCTAATGTCCTCCTAAAATCAGTCATTAAAAACTTCGTAGTGCTAGAAAATCAACTGTTGAGGTGGACTTACTAGACGATAATGTGAAAACAAGGCAAAAAGAGATAGCAATCTTAACACGTCTAGATCGATGATGATAATACAGAAAAGACATGCAAAGTTTCAAATCCGCCCTATGGAAGAGAGCTTGCTGCAGATCATATTTATTTCTTGTCATTATCATATCTGTATACATTTAAAAATATTTACGTTAAACTCACCCACATGCTCATTTTCCTCCAAATCTTCTGCGACTGCTGTACTCTCATCAACATTGGATAGGATGTCACCATTTTCTTGCTCTTTTATATCAAACTCCGATAATCTGCAGAAAAAAAAACATTCAAGACAAATAATCCGTTACCCATTTAGCTACTAAAAGTAAAACGATGCACCTATCTCAAAAATGCAATACACCCTCATGCTTCTTACGGGTAGTACAATACCACAATGGAAATTCAAGATTCTTATAAACCTCCTAGACATTCTAAAAAGCCGGCAGGACAAGAAAAGAGCAAAGTTTATAAGGTTTTGACTGATTATTTTTCGCTGAAGATGTGAAAACGTAAAAGGGTGATTATTATGAAAGGTGATTAAATCGATCTAATTTTGTTCAGAAAAAAAATTCGAGTTTTTCCAATATCTGTTGCAATTTCGCGGAGAAACATCACAAGATATATTTGATTAGGTATAAGGTCAAACAGTTTACCTATTGGTTTTTGAAATTATGAGGATTTCGAAAAAATATAAATCACGGAGGTGATCACCTTTCACGGATGTGAAAACTACTTTATATAATTGCAAACTCATGTTAAATTGGTTTATATTTTAGTCCTTTATTCGAAAAAAACGATTATATAAATGTAAAAGAGCATAATTATTTCAGTTTAAAAGCATAGCTAAAGGCAGATTGTCGTCTTCATCCTCCGACGATGATGAATAAATCTCAGAGTATATCAGTCTTCTTTTTGTATGTGCTAATAATCAGTTAAGGAAAAATGAGGAATTAGAAAATATTTGAAAATGCCAAAATAATTTGATAAAAAAGGATACGTTGCTGCAATTGGTAAGTTCCCAAGGAATAATGAGAACAAACTTTGGATGGAGAGCAGCTGAGACAGGTGAGCTTTCGAATATCTAGGAACGTATGTGGTTTCACCCAAACAACCTCATGGCATTGTAAAATTCCGGTATACGGTGGCAGTATTTTAGGTATCGTCTTTTCAATTTTGTCAAGCTCTGCATCATCTATCTGAACTTCAGATAGAATGACACCTTTACAGTTTGCTTTCAAATGGAACAAACAAGATTGTAGGTTAGATATGTCTATTCCTCGAGCCACCATAGCATCAGCTGTGCGCTTTAAGACTCCACCTACTCCATCTGGAGCTCCCTTGCCATGACCTTTCTCACTATAATGCCACCCTAACTTTTCTACATTTAACTCGTTCGTAATGAAGCTTGCCATCAAATTGAACATCTTTCTGTTCCGATATTGGGTTGAGGGTCCGTCGCTTAAAAAATGAACGCATTTCAAATTGCCTACAAAGGTTTTGAGTTTTTTAAAAACGGGAAGTAGATGGGCGCAAATTGCCACAGGATCATGCCGCAAACTTTTGGATACTGTACAGAAACATTTTTTTTGCATAGTATTGTTAGAGCTTCTATAATACACAACTACCGTGTGCAAGCTCAACTGCATTTTTGAGCCCCCAAAGTGGGCTGACTGGACTTCTTCAGCATATTTACATCCATAATTTTCGGAGAAATCCATATGTATTAGAACTTCTGTATTATCCATATCTTCTTTGATCTTCCGAATTTCTCTCATCTGGTGTTCTAAATTTTTTATATGCAAAAGAAAAGGCTGCAATGAATTAAGGAATGCTTGAAGAACTTCACCCTTAGTAGACATAAGCTTCTCCTTAAAAGTTTTCGTACACAACTTTTCTTTTCCTTTCACTACTATTGTAACCCGCTTTGTAACCCACCTCTCATGAACTATGGTGTCCGATCTATGAAATTCAGCTGTAACTACAGTTTTCTTCTTACAACTTTCGCATTTTCTTTCTAAACATATCTCTTTCAGTACTTCCCCTTCGCAACAAATGGCTCTACATACTTCTTCAGGAGAATTCTCTTTTATAATATTTGCGATTTTCAGCCTTCTACGAGCAACCACATATTCGTGTGGATCATACAAAGGCAGGTATTTCGTTCTTCTATTTTTGGCTGTATAATCCAGAACGGGCGTAATCGACAGAAGGTTGTGTAGCTAATTAGAAACTTATTTTCTTTTATAAATCGTCTATGTAGATTTCTGAGTGTATCATTTAGTAATCGTTTCTGCTTCTTATCATGTTTTCTTATAACATAATCGTTTTTGCCAGGGCAGAGCCTACTGCAGTCATCTTTTTCCAGGAAATTTTTTATTTGTTGCCTGATGAATTCCTGATTTATTAATCTCGTTTTAGATTTATCTTTTGAGGATGTAAATACAGACGCAGTTCTTTTCAAATAGCTTATTTGTTTGTATTTCCAGAAATATTTTTCCAAAATGTTCTTTTCTGTGCAGGATTTGTAAGAACCCGATAATTTTCTGTTAACTGTTTCGCTATAACTTCTGAAAATAACAGTTTTTTCTTAACAGCAGGAGAAACAGTTTGTCCCTTGATTAGTGCTTCCACTTTTTTTTCAGACGAATCTATGTTTTTGTGCAGTCGCTTTTTTACTCTTTTTAGTCTCATTCTATATTTTTCCTTCTTTCTTTTCTCTTTTTCCAGTTTAACTTTTAACAAATCTATTTCTTTTCTTAGAGCCTTTACGTGTTTTCTTCTTCGTGACCTGCCTTGCCTCTTTCTTCCATCATCTCTTTCTTGAAGTATTTCATCATATGGTGCTTCAGCCATTAGTTCTTCCGGGATTGGAGTGGCAGGTGGTGAGTTTTCTTGTAATTTAAGCTCGAGCTCCTTTGCATTTTTCTTTCCAAGATAGTATTTTTTACTTCTATTCCGCCACTCTTTCCTTTGATTCCGTTTTTCTCTTTCTGACATTTGGTCAATGATTTTAATTTGGCCTGCTTCTTTTCTCCGGTAATACCGTTCCCGTTCTTTTCGCTTGTCTTCTTCATACTTCTCTGGATCCTGTCGCCTTAATTCACGTAGCCTTCTCATAGCTTCGCGCTGCCTTCTTTTCTTTTCTTCGTGATGAGCTTTTGTATTTTTGTTCTGTACTTTTAAACGAGCCATGTTCTGAAAATGTCGGTGCATATATTATACTTCAATTCACTAAACCATTACAATGTCTCACCTCCGTGAAACTTGGTTCACCTCCGTGAACTGGTAACTTCACGGAGGTGAGGCTCACGGAAGTGAGGAATTACCATATTTTTCTTTAATAACTTGTTGGGAAAATGTCTTGCACAAGTAAATTTCAAACCAGCTCTAGTGGGAATATTATGTCACCTATCAATATTAAAACTACGCATTTTTCTTATTTACTTACCAAAAAAAACAAATTCACGGATGTGAGAACAACAAAGGTTCCACGTGGTTAACAAGTCTTAAACTAAAGAGAGAATCCGTCTGATCACTTTCAATCCCTAATATTGACTGAACGAAATAGGTCGTGGTTTGCTGTAACGCGATACAATGCCAGAAATTGAATAGTTCGCCATCTGTGAGCCGAAATCTGCATCAAAAAGTACGTCACGGAGGTGATACCTACTTTCCGGAACAGGGGTCGAGGCGCAAACAGTAAATTACATGATATTCCAAAAGAAAAGTTTTGTTCATATCTCTTCTACAAAAACAAATTCTGGAGATTCAAGATAAAACTTCTATAGATTTCTTCCTTAGTAATAGTTTTTATGTAGCCCTGTGATGGCAATGGTAAAAGAGAACAGTCACGGAGGTGAGGTTTTCATACGTTTTTTGGTTATAAATAAAAAAACAGAAATATTAAAGACATGCACTTATTAGTTATGAATATTCCTTAACTTTAAAAATGTACCTCCATTATTAACACTTGGATTTTTTTTTATAAAATGATATTTTTTAACGAGTACTCAAAATTTTCACCTTTCATGATAATCACCCAAAAATGAAAAAGGAATAGTGCATTATAAGGAATTGCCATCACTGAGATTTTTTGCAGTTACCGCCAATCAGTTGTATATCAAACATAACAGTATTAAGGGTATCCTATTATTTTCAAAGGATTCGTTTTTAATTTTCACTGTTTTATATTAGTAGTACCTTCAAGCCATATTTTGGACCACATACTTTCTGGTGTTGTTTTTCAGGCTTTATTTTATTTATACATACACATGTGTATCTATCCGTATTTATATTTATCCGTTAAATGTAATTGGGGAGAGTAACGCCTCGCTTTAAAGCCCCATATAAGAGTTTTATGACGGACTGGCAGGTTATCGAAGTTGAGCGTTTTTCTACATTAAATCTCAATAACCACACTATAGTATGTTATACAAATCTTCTTATCTTGAAAGAGCCTATTGGAATACTTAATTAAATATTGAACATTCTATTAACAAAATTCGACATTCTTCAAATGAAATGTTGTTGAGTTGAGTGGTCGGATCACACACAACATAGGTAGCAATTTAGAAAAACCCCAAGCAAGATGCCCTACAATTTCCAATATTGCGCCATAGCTGATGTTTGTCGAATACAATTTTTAGTGTTATAACCTTCCAAGATTACGAATTAAGCTGAAATTTTTTATATTCTTTACCGTTAATAATTATATACTTTCATTTATTCGCCTGTACCAGAGAACACCCACTACAATTAGCTACTTGAATATACACTACTCAATTTTTAACAGGCTGTATTTCGATGAAAAATGGTCGTATTCAGACTCTAAAATGAGCATTTTGAAGCTTCAAGATTATAGTTCTCACGTTTTTTCGTCTAAAATTTTTAGGAGCGACGGTTCTCATACAATTCTAACAGACAGCGCAAGAAACATTTTTTGAAAAACATTTGACTTCTTTTAGTCCAAGTGCTTGAAAAAAACATTTTTCTGTTAGGCCATCATATGATAGCCTGCTAGGTTTTTTATACCTCACTGTATCCCTAATAACCCCGCACGACGGCAGATCGATCCATTGTAGGATTTCTCTGGACCTATTGGTTAAAATTTGGAAAATACTGTAATCTGGTTGAAAATGGAAAAATGATGTTTCTTCTTTTGTTGTCACCATTGGATATCTGTAACAACTGCAATTATAAAAAAGCCATTGGAAAAATTTTATCCTTTTATTCATACATTGAGGTATAAAAACCCTGAACACATTAGCCTTCTCATTAGCAATCCCAAAAATGCCGTCGATTTTCCAAAACAGACAAAAAAACTTTTTTAAAATCAACGCTAAGGGAACAAAAAAAGTTCACCAAAGATTGTAATCAAATCTTATGAGGGATTTATCTCAGATTTCGGAAATAAAAGGATCCTTTTTAATTCAAAGTCAGTATCTCCCCGCCAAATGATCGTATCGAGATTTTAAAAACAGGGTATTGAAGCTGAATAAACGGGCTATCTGATCCATTGATGGCATAAACAGAAAAAAAAATTCAAGCCTGTGGCCTAAAAAGAAGGCAAAATATTTGCCAAAGATGTTTCGTCATCTGTTAAAATTGCATGAGAGCCGTTGGTCCTAAAATTTTTTGGCTAAGGAGCCTGAAACGACCAAGTTTCACCAAAATACAGCGTGACAAAAATCACAGAAAAATTTGTATTTTTGCTTGCTCCCCTCATAGTGCACTTTCTGCAGAAAATAATGTATTCCGATGGTTTAACAGTTTTTCAACTCTAAATACTTTGTACACTCGTGTTTTGCCAGTTTTGTATAAAATACCTAGGCAGTTTATAAAAATTCCGAATTTCCATTATTCCTACGACAGATACATTTCTTTGGATACAGTTTGCTTCTTGAAAGAACTTATTTTACTTGAAATAGATGCGAGCTGGATAAAGCATTTACAATATCCTACCTATCAAAGTCTGACAATTTCTCTACATCAGATATTCTTTCCTTGTCAATGGTTCCCTTTTGATCAGATAATTTTCCTGGGTCTGACCTTTTTTCCACATCTGATAAAGTTTCTGCATCTGACACCTTTCCTACGTCTTTTTTCACCTCTGTACCTGAATCTTCAGAGGAGTCTGAAGATTCCGAGATATTTGAGTTGGAAGCAATCATGCTTCCCGGAGACTGATCTATCCTACGATTGGATAAGTGTTGCTTACGAGCTGGATTAAAATGTTTGCAGTAACAGCAATAGTACGAGAAGTATTCAAATTCTTCTTTGAATGCCATACCTGAAATCAATATGGTGTTATGCATGAAAAGTTCAGGGAAAAGTTTGAGCAAAATTAACAAAACAAATGCATGGTAGTAAGAACATGCTGCAAAGAGCTCTGAATGTGGTCACAACATGGACGTCAAATGATAGAAGGAAGAAATTAGAGGGGCTAGGATCTATGCCTTCTGGGAGAACAGATGCAACTATCGGGTGAAGTCAAATATCTGGAGGTAATAGACTCCAAACTGACCTGGAACCCGCATATCAAATGCATTAAAAGAAGAGCGGAGTCGACTTTAATGTTGACCAGACACTCTCATGGCAAAACATGGAGATTGAGCCCTTCCATGATGCGCTGGACATACACAATAGTGGAAAGACACATGATAAGTTATGCATCTCTAGAATGGTGGCCAAATATGAGATAACGCCTCTTACAGAATTAAGCAAGGTACAAAGACTTGCTTGCCTGTCGATAACAGGTGCAATGAAGAGCACTCCAACTGCAGTACTTGAAACCATGCTGGCCCGATACCATATTTAATAATGGGAGAGGCGAGAATGGGCTACTGCAAGCTACGTCACAGCCAAAGGAAAGATATGAGGACCTTGGACATAACCAAATAAAGGAACTTCCACCAAAATAGGAAATCGAACGAAACACCAAAGGCACAACCTGCAAGGTGAAATTACCTGGTACACTGTCGGGTCAAAAACTGAGCAGTGAACAAGTGCAGGTATATATGGGAACAAATGCAATTCTGGGCATAGTATACTGCATGGAAGACACACATTTGTACTTCAGGCAGAAGTTTATGCAATCCTGCACTGGGCAAGAGTACATAATCAGCGAGCGTATAACAATAAAAGGATCGCCATATACACTGACAGTCAGGAGTGACGCATAGCGTTAAGATGTCCTAGAGTGATATCTGCACTGACAGGGAATGTCAACAAACAACTCTGGTTTAAGTGCCAGGACATTCGGGAAACACGGGAAATGAAAGGGCGGATTAGCTTGTTAGAAATGGATCATTCATACCCTATACAGGCCCAGAACCTGCCTTGGAGATGCTAAAAAGCACAATAAGGGACCGAGTCAAAGAATGGGTAATAAACCAGCACAAGCGACTGGATGTAGGCATGGGAAAGAATTCATCTGGGGACCACATCAAAACAACACTGTGGAACTGCTCTTAATGAGTAGAAACCAATTCCGTACAGACACAGGGCTTCTAACAGAACACAATGGGCTGAACGAACACCTGTGCAAAATAGGGTTGTACAATGGAGACCTTAGCTACAGAGAATGCGGAAAAGAAACAGAATCAGCCCTATATGACTTATGTGAGTGCGAGACGCTGGATCACAAAAGACTCTTCGGGAAACCAAAACTTGGGAGTTTAGAACAGTACCGGCAGGAAAACTGTACCAATCGGTTCAGAACACTAGACTGCTGGATTGTAAACTCCAGGAGCAAGGCACAAGCCTTAGAGGCTGCAATGCCATCGGCGACATTGGTCAGGCGGCTCCCGGAAAGGGGAAAAAAGGGTATGTTGCGGCACATCTTGAGCACAGAGTGATTTGGCGCACTTATGTTGTCGGCAGTTGTACTTCAACATTTTGCAAACCTTTTACGTACATTCCAACAAATTTCTGGACATCTGCCGGTGCATGACGTGCAGCATTTTGCGGTACAAATCTGATGAAGTGAAAATGTACTCTAACACAATCTGTAAATTGATAAATCAGCGATCGAGGTAGTGGAACCTAAATTTCTAATTTTGGGAAAAATGAAAGCAAAACACGATTTATTCATATCGTAATTTCAAACATTTCGAACGGTGTTTATATTTATATTTTTGTCAGCACTGGTGTTGAAATAGTGAGTGACTGAAATATATCGGATGGACTACCACGTTCTGCTGATTTTGATTCATAATACTAAACACTCACCATTATGCCTGTGACAGTTTTTACAGATCAAGGCATATCGAAATGATGGACCAACTCCCATTACATAATCAGCAAACTTATCCAATATTGATCTGAAATTTTTGAGAAAATTGTAATCTTCGATACACTGCAGAATATTAATGACTACAATACTCGATGTGATAACTTACGGAGATATTTGCAATGTTTTTTTTTATTTCGGCGGAATAACAACATTTCGCCTATGGCAAAAGATGAGACGTAAAATTTCTAGAGTCAATTAATTATAGGTTTTCCACGCCATGTCATTATATCGTTAGAATGTGACAAGAGCGCACCCAGGGAAGGGCAAGCGGGGGCAGATGTTCCCCTTTTCCCTAGCTCAGCAAAAATGAAATGGAGAGGACATTTTATACAAAAATTAAATAAACTCTTGACTGAGTCTTAAAATATATCAACACCTCGGGACCTCGGTTGGCCGCGTGGGTCAGAATGTCGTGCTACTGATCAGCCGGCCGGCCGGGCCGCGAGTTCGAATCTCGCCTTCGCCATGGATGTTGTGTGTTTGTTTTAGGCAGCAGCGGTGGCCGCAGTAGTAGACTCTTCGGTCTCCTGATCAGTCGCCGTGCGCTGTGCGGGTTCGAGTCCCGTCCCAGGAGAAATTTTTCTCTTGGCTATGGATGTTGTGATTGTCCGTAGGTGGTAGATGGTCTCTGACTGTCGAACGCGGAGGTACCACCTGGCGGTTCTCGTAGGCGGAGCCAGAATGTGTGCATGTTGCATGCACACGTGTTCCCTCGCCAGAGTCCGTGTGGCGTTCCCCCTTTTCCCATGTATCCCCCTATAGCCCCACGGTACCCAATGGGTGCTTAGACCTTAGGCCTTCGTGGCAGTTGGAGTATAAAAAAAAAACAAAGTTTGACTTCTTTCTGAATTTTGTTCTACTAAAGGAATTTTTGATTACATTCAAAATAAACCAAAAAAAAATGATAAAGTCAAGTTGGGAGGAGTTATCGATGTTTTGGTCAAAATACTGGTATCTTTAGACAGGCCTTCAAAAGCCAGTGTTTTTTTTGACGATTGCTCTACCTACTATGTGATTCTGAAAATTATTCTTCCATTTGAAGTTTTGTCGCGATTACAGCACTTCCCTGGCAATGGATGCAAACAATCTATTCTATCTTTCAGGATACTTCAAGTGTTGTCGTATATTGGGGCGAACACTTAAACATCTCTTTTTATTTAAGCTTATATTGTTGGCAATGATAATTCCAGTGAAACTTACCGAATTCAGAACTATTTACAGTAAATACCTGAGATTTTTTTACATGTTTAATTTGAAGCAGCAGTCATATTGCTTTTTTCGTTTTATTTTTGTACGTCGAAAATATTCTAAATAAAGGCATTGTTGAAAAGTATGAATCTATAGCTTACAAAAAACAACAAAAGACGCCTCTATCTACAGATCTGGCTTGACGATTCCGTCAATATTGAGTCACTTGTGTGCATGGGGTATTTTGAATGGCACTTGATAATCAGTTGTTATTTTTTGTCACGTTTCTACTTGATGAAGTATCATGAAAAAAATAAATTAGTTATTAAAAACGCAATGTTTTCTGGATAAAGAATACCCCATCGTTTATTTAGCACAACATAGTGCATATGCTGTTAGATGACGGCATTCTCACACTCAGACCGCGGAAATTAGAATTATTGGATAAACAGAAAGCTTTTGAAGAAAAAAAGTAGAGAACAGGTTCTTTTTGTTGATCTTCACCTAAAATCTTATAGCAGTCATATAACTGTATCACAAAAACGATCATCGCAAAATTAGGAATTCTATTTTTGCCAAATGTCCATTATTTTCAAAATGAAAAGTGTTCTGTACTGAAACTTTGTTAATTTTCAATATATCCATACTTGAAGCAACGCATAAGATATTACCTATTTCCTGGTAAGATTTCTCTTGGTGTGACAGGTCCCATGGTCGCCATCAATGGCATAGACGTCATTGGTGAGATGAACGATCTTTCAACTCCGCCAGTTCCAGGACGCATACTGGGAGTGACCTGCAAGACAGGAAGTGACGGCCTCGGCTGCATTGGAGTTGCGCTGATGGCCGCTGAAGACTGAGTTGATCGCCTCCGGAGATCTGAACGGCAAATAACTCGAATTAATTGGTTCATTTGCACTTTAGTCTTAAAGCACCACGTGACATGTGATTATTACGTTGATGCTAACGTAATATTGTAGCTTAAAGCTAAACAAACACCTAAACCTATCTATATAAATCCTGTAGATTATTTGCGTATGGAAAACTGCGCGCAAAATAAAGGTTGGATGTCATGAGCACCTGCAGGGGGGGGGTTAATTTTGAGGACTGCGCCCATGATGCATGCATGAAATTTTGGTTTATTCAGATAATTCTATATTACCTAATCTACTTTCGGGCACAGGTAACTTTGTACAAACCCTGCGAGCAAATGAAATATGGATATTGTTTGAATTCCTTTGGTAACCAATCATACTCGAAGATGGGCGTGATTACATGGAGGCCACAGTGTTTCCGCTCCTCTTGAAGTGACTTCCTTAGATTGTGTGGTCATTCGACACTATCAGTTGTTTATGTTGAAGTAATTAATTTTGCATATAATTGACTTTTTTCGTTTTACATCAACAAGTTCACGAATTTATTCAGATAGATTTCTGCAGGCTCATCCTGATTATGTTTCCCAATGAACAAATCCATGGATCATCTGACAGTACACAGTGCCGCCAACAGTGCCAGCCACAACAAATTCTTGCAGGAAACAGTTTGAATTTTCATATGTTTTGTGGTTTTGCTCTTGACGCGAATCTCGCTAACCGAAACCGTTGTTGAATACTATAGTTCTAAGTTCTACCAGTTCTATACTTCAATTGAAAAATGTTGGCACCATTGAATTTAACACCCAACTTGGCAAAAATAATACAGGTTCTACTTGCGTGAAGAAATCATCGCAGAAGCTCGTGGATTTATGTGGCATCAAGTTAAATGATGTAACATTACATAAGAATATGCAACAATGCATCTTAATTCTCCAATATTCAACTTATGCTGCAGCACTATATGGTTCTAACAAAGCACAACTGCAAAGTCTCAGACTAATCAGAGAGTGAAGGTTACAACAAAGCATGTGTATGTGCTATGCAATGGATGTGGTCAGACACACTGAGCTGTGTGACAAATGAAAATCATAGAGGACTTTAGAAATGAAAACGACATGTAAATTTTAACTTGACCTATTTTTTCAAACTGATGGCACAATCAAAATTCAGATTACAAAATACTGATTTATTTAAATATAAGCAACCAAACAGCAAAACAATACCACTTAAATTCTTCAATAAACTTGTATAATCTATGATTCATGGTTGTTTTCCTCGTAAATTTCTTTTACAGTCTAATTACAGTAACTTTTTCCTTATTCTACTGTGAAAATAAATAAATACACATCATGCTAAACAAGCCAACCAAGAAAGCTTAAAGGTAATTAAATTTGTTCATTAAAGCTTGAAGGATAGAAATGCATATAATCTGCATAAAATTCATAATCAATTTGATGTGAGTTAGACTATTACAGATCCAAGCAGTAATAGATTCACTTGAAGTCGAGCATATGCTACACTTAATATTATTTTGGCAAGTTTCATGAGTATATTTTTGAATGAAAATCCAGATGATATTTTTATACATCTATGCTTAGGAGTGCTAGCCACAAACTAAGCTGAGTCTTAAAAAAATGCAGGTAATATTTTATATATGTAAATCTAAATAGTGAAGTGTAGCAGCAGCCAGAGCAAACTGAAGTAAATTAAATAAGCTAAACAGTGGAGTAGATAAACAACAGACAATAGATTGAAAATTAGCTATCTGCTTTACTATCAAAGACCTTTCTCATGTTGGAGATCAAAACAGCATTTTATTTTCAAATATTTTCTATAGTTTATAGAGCCTGTTAAACGTTTTGAATAAGTGTAGATGAAGTAGATGAAGATAAAATTAACATGAAATAAAATCTGAAGTATCTGAATCAAGTCTAAATTCTACAAAAAATTATGACTGGTTTACAAAATTAATAATACTAGTTTTTTAAGAAATGAAATATTACCTGCTTGATTATTTCTCCTAGGAACCAATGCAGAGGGGCTAGAAATGGGTGTAGACTGTAGATTAATATCAGGCTTTTTTAGACTATCATTTCCAAATTTATCCAAAATCTTTTTAGCCACCTTGTAGGTTTCTGTTTCCATAACATTGTCCAAAATCTTTTTCTTTTCGTCTCTCAACTTTATTAGTTTTTTCTCATTCTTCCTTAATTTTCTACTATAGTACCATGTGAGAATCTTCTTGATGAAAAATATTCTGAAGATAAAGTTATTAGGTATTAAATAATAATAACAAATATTTATTAAGGTTTTCCTAAGAAGTCCTTTATTATACACATGAGGATCATACAATAGATGTATAGATGCCAAGTTTATTGCACAAAATTGTATAAAAAGATGTGATTCAGAGAATAACAACTGGGGTGATAATACACTGCTACAATTGTATTGAATAGATTAATATCTTTAAAATTATATCATTTAATTGATATAACTCACAATACCTACATACATATAATATACAAATATAATCATATTGTTTTTCCATTCAACAATGTTTTTTTAAATTATAAATGGTAGCACAATTTCTACAATATGAGACTCAAGGGCCCTTTAAGGGGTAGAGAAAAATACAGCTGGTGGAGTAGCATGGCTATAGTAGGGTATTGTAGTTCGGTGCGGCGCACCAGGGCCCCAGTGTATCACCCACTTGTATTGTCAGAACCGAAGGAGTGCAGGGTTGCCGACACTTGGAAAAGTCTACGCGCTAAATGACAACCCAAACCCACCAGACTTTGGAAGCGAAAAATTGAATATTAGTTGGAAAACACCAAATTGCACTTATTTATTTGAAAATTAAAATGGTTTTATTATCATACAGGGTGTTACTTAATGATGAGGCCGAGTTACAAGTGCGAATTTCTGAACTAAATTCAAGTAAAAAAGTTCATATAAACATCTGCCCTAAAAAGTATGGTGTCCAAGTAAAAACCTGCTTTGTTTTCAACATTTTAAAGATCCTTAAGCTATGTGCCATGTTCATAACAACATCAAAGTTGATTTGAATATAACATTTTTTGACATGTAATGAAATCATTTATATATTTTTTTTACAGTGTAAGCACATTTTTTGTCTTAAAATTTTTCGAGAGATATCACTAGATTAGTGCTAACTTAGAGTCCCATTGCAACAAACAAAAACAACAAGGATCTTCAAGATATTAATAAAAAACATGTTTTTTAATTTTTACGCCTTGTATTTTGAGAGACTCTTTAGGACATATGTTGAAAGCTTTTCTACTTAAATTTGGTTCAGAAATGTTAATGTTAATGTTAATTATAGAGGTTGTGTATACTATCAAATAAACACTTTACCTGGAATTAGTTTTACAAATATCAAAAAAGAGTAACTGAAACTATTTTTGGAGATTAATTAAAATATTTACTGGAATTAATTTTTAATTGAATCAAAAAAATGTTCAGCTGAGATTACAATGCAACACAAATTGTGAAAATATTTGCTATATTTTAAAAAAATAGAAAATTAAATAGAACATACAGATAGAACATTCAAATAAATGAACTATACAAAAAAATCTACCGTTTTTCTTAAAAATAATTGAATCACATGTCAGGAAATGAAAATGAAAAATCCATTAATCAACTTAAAATTAATGCAGAATATTGAAAGATATCCAATTCGTGAATCTCAGTAGTTTTCTAACTTCCTTTCTTTCTTCTGGTTGTCAATTAATGAGCCGAACCATTGCCCAACCCACTAGCACTTCCTGCTAGCCACTGAATTGAAAAACACTACTAGATGGGGACCTCAACCCACCAGATACTGCTGGGAAACCAATAAGTTGGCAACCCTAGGTGAATGGTGAGGTGACTTCAGAGCTTTTTTCCAGTGACCCAGTTAAGTTACAGGGAGTTAAAGTGACTTAGTACAGCTCAGCAGCAATACCATTCCACTGCACATTGTATTCCCATGCATTATTTCTGGAGCAGTTCAGAAGCATATCACTCTCAAAACAAAAACCACTTAAAAGCAGCTCAGATGAAACAAGTAACTTTATTTAATATGACAACTAACAACACACAGTCCTGCCAATATTGTCAACCACTTGCACCTGCCCAACATTTATGTACAAACTTCGTTTTACCTGACAAATCCAAAATACTGAATGTACCTGCTTTTACCTACTTTTAAGTTAAAGTATTAGTTCTTTCCCTGAATAATTCTTTAAAATCCCAGAAACATGAAGATAATTCTAATTTAATATAAATAACTATATAATTTCTATAATATATTGTACAGCATGTAACATTCATGTATTTGTGATAATAAATATAAAGTTCTGTAATGATAAATCATTTATTAAAAGTTGTATTAAAAATACATTGGTTTCTTTTAACATTACCTATGATCAAAAATTAGTCATGGCGGTTATTCAACCTAACATTGTCCATCGAACCACAGTGTGCATCAAATATGACTAACTGATTTAATGAGCAGTTGATGTAAAAGCATGCAAATGAAAATTTCAATTGTTTTTTTCCTTTTAATTTGTTTTAGACTGCACTTCATTTTTAAGAAAGTTGCTTTCATTTTATAAATTTTACTTCATGTTTTATTTTATCAATACATTTCATTCTTTGCAGAATGTTATTTTTATTCAAAATTTATAATATTTTTAACAGTGATTTCACATGAAAATAAACCTTTTTTGTATTGAAATATCTTATTTTACTTTAAGCACAGATGATGTAGGTATTGACAGAACAAATTGTTACAATTATTTTTCATTTTGTATAACACTGTCAATTAGAAAAAAATTTGGAGTGCTGCAAAAATAAAATGTGCTGTCCCAAATAATCATTTTTGGTTTGTGCTCAACAACCCTCAATGAAAATCAGGCACTAGGGCCCCAAGAACCTTAGCTGAGCCACCAAGCTGGTGTAGTCAAAATAGTTTTTATCCACAAAATCAAAACATACTCACACAAATGGCATTATCCCAAGAGGAGCAGCATACAGTAGTTTTTGATTCTGGTCTATTTTATCATAATATAGGTAGAATATTAATGCTGACAGCAAGTATAAAGCAATGGCAAATATTATGAACCTTCCTATAGTACGCTTTCGTGTTAATTCAGTTGTCCTACCAAACTCCTGAATAGATGTTATTTGATTATCTAATTTTTCTAAGAGCTCATATGTAGTTTTCTTACTCTGCAATATTTCAGAGATAAAACATTTCAAAACTTAAAATATAGTAGGTAACTTACTCTAAATCTTCCCAATATTATACCCATAGTTCTTATAGTCTATAACAAGCCTGAACTAGAAACGATACTGCACAAGTGAATACAAAAAGCATCCGGTAAAAGCTGCTATATTATAACCTGTAAATAGTTTATTTGCATGATACGAATGCACAGATTGCAATTTATTCATAAGCCTGCAAGTTCAAAAATTGCACCTTTTCACGAGAAACACTACAGTTCACAATTCAGTTTCGAAAGGTTCGAAATATCTACATTATTTTTAAACCGGATATATTATTTTGTCTTTCTACTTTTCAGGTTCCTAAAATAGTAATGTAAAAAATCAAATGTGACATGAACACAAAAAATAGTGACAAGTAAAAAAATGGAATAATAAATAAATGCATGAACATTGCCAAATCTACAATTTCTAGTTAACTTTGCGATAATTCAAGGTTTATTACAGGCACTCGCGCTCAGACATACTTCATTCATTTATAGTTTTGCTATAAGAATCGATATAAACCCATCGGTATAATATTGGAATAATATAAATTTCATAAGTATAAAACAGAATTTGTGATGTAGCTGGAAGCACATAATACTGACAAATAATCCATGAATTTGTCTATTTATGTAAGCACCACAAAACATAATCAGGATGACTTTGAAGAAATCCAGCTAATCTGAATAAATTCGTGAAGAAATTGTTTATGTAAAACGGGTATAATATTCAGTATCAAAGCCCTGAGGATCTGTAATCCGAGGTTTAAGGTTACGTTTCCAATTTAACAAGTGGCACTGGTATGGACTGTTGCATGTCAGCTTTCAAGTAACTCGTGGAATGATGGAATGTCTGAACGACAATGATTGGACAATACCGAGAAAATGCAAAATGTAACCGTGCATCGTGAAAGATATATTATTAATCATCATATTGTTTGCTTGCACCAGTCGTTCCATTCTACAAATTTTGGGGAAGGTGTAGAAGTGTAATGTGGATATTAGAGGAGTAATCAAGGATGGGAATGTTTTTGACGGTCTAACTTGATACTTTATGTCGCGCACAGTAAAATTTCTTACTGCGACAGTGCAAAACACTACAATAACAATTATTCCAGACAAAAACAAGATATATATAAAAAATGCTTAAGTGATGCAAAAGTGCATACCAGTGGAAAACAATATACCCTTTCAGCTAAGAAATACCCGTTGACAATGACAAGTTTTGAGACATTTTTTAAAAACGCAGTGTAAAATGTGTGTGTAATAAAATCCTGGCGCTGGCTCCAGGGAACACGGTACGTACGGCAACATTGTGAGAATGTGTCTGTCAAAAATGGAAAAGTTCTCAAATGCTAATCATAAAACATAACCTCAATCCTCAAGCTGAGCAATCAACCCTTAATCAACCAAAGAACCAAAACGTTTTGGAAATCGGGAAATGCAAATAAAATAGTTCGCATTAATATATGTAATGTAGGTTAATTAATTGTATATTTTTGGTGATAGCAAAATGACGACTTCCAAGATGTACCTCAATATAAACCGAACATTTCGGAACATATTCGGTCAGAAAACGAAGTGTGTATAATTCTAGTTTGTTTTCGATTTTGTATCTAATATCGACCCATTTACAGGCAGAATTTTGGAAAATATAATATCGTAAAACCTGGCAAAGTATCTACACAGATGACTGTTCCAGACCACATACCCAAACCATCATATTACTTGACTGGAGAACCTACTGAGCTCATATCATGTGAAGAAATAAAAAATACTGAGCAGATATCAAAAATGAGAGACTCTTGCCAACTTGCTGCTCGTATTTTAAATGAGGTTGAAGGATACATACAGGTAATTCAATGGTACAAAAAAGCTCGAACTAATTTCTAATGCAAGATTCTTATTCTGTACATTGCATTTGCACACCCTTCCACCTTCAGCATCCCAGACCACATTCTTTTAGGTAGGTTTTTCTAACATGTTTTTTTGGAAGTTGCATAATCAACCAGCATATTAACTATATAAATAACTACAAACAAATGCTGGGTGGGAGCTCAGGGTTCATGTTCAGGAAGATGTCCAGCTTAGGGGGTATCAGGAATTGAAAATTGAATATTGGAATGGTTGTTTGCAAATTGAGAAACATGTTCAAAGTTTTTTTAAACTCGGGGGTCTAAATCCTCAGGATTACCCCCATTAGATCCATCAGCATAACTTGGTAAAGTCTACCCAGTGAAGTGATTGATGCTGGTTCATTTCAGTTGCTATAAGATTATATTTGAGTTTTTGAAGGGTGTATGTTCTAAAATTTATTTATCTTACCAAAAAATGAATACACAAAGAAAAGAAATAGTTGTGTGGCTGGGCCAACTTTTGTGATTAAAAGTGTGTATTTATAGCCTTATATATACCTTTGAAAGGTATGTTGTACTCAACATTCTAAACCTATGTTTTTGTTGAAGATCAACAACTTTAGGCCTGATTCTGCTTAGGTTTTAAAAAAGTACCTATTTAAAATTATTTTCATGTCATGGGCATCATGACCAAACACCAAATTGTGTCATATCTTGATGTGACTTATTCAGATTTAAGAAAAACCAAACCTAAATTATCCTTACCTTACTATTTGTCTTTTACCACATTTTATTTTGAGGTGTTTGTAGTTTTTTGAGTATTTAAGAAGGATAAAAGAACAAATAGAAAATGCAAACAAACAATTCCACAATGTACATTACTGTAACTGCTCCATGGACCTTACTGTTCTATTAAAAATAAGCTATGGAAATAATGTAAATGCACTAGCTCCTTCTACAAGATGGTCAGCATTTACTAAAAAGTCATCCAAATCAAGCAGCTGATTTGAGCAGAAATATGCCGTAATCTTGGCTATCTTTTAATTATCCATTAATTTCTTAGAAAACATATTAGGAATATGGGACTCAATGTTGTGGCCTCTAAACCAAACCATATATAATTTAGCAGCACCAGTTAGTGGAGTCCTGTCAATATAAAAACCACAGGATAAGTTTCAGGTGTTAGATTCTTATCAGGAAGGTGTGGAAAAAGTCATGTGCCCAGACCTTGCAGGTACATACCTAACACTTGGTGCATCCCTAATGGAATTTCATGCAACTTTGCAATAATTTTTCGAAATGATTTGTTCAACACTGTAGACATTCCTAAAAATTATATGTTAATTTCATTGCTCATCAAATTTAGTACCATAGCACTAGGGAGTGTTTTTTCTGTTTTAGGTTGGAAAAACTACAGATGAAATAGACAAATTAGTTTTTAGCAGTTGTGTGGAGAATAATGCTTATCCATCACCTTTAAATTATAAGCACTTCCCAAAATCTGTTTGTACATCAGTGAATAATGTTGCATGTCATGGAATCCCAGATGATAGGCCATTACAAGATGGTGATATAGTGAATGTTGATATCACGGTAATCATTTCATATTTTTTAAGAAAATATTTATTTCATAATAGTAACATACATCTACAAAAAATGTTTTAAGAAAGATTATCCAGAAGTCATTTTGTATGAAATTTTCATATTTGTCGTTACTGTCATTGTTTGCAGACTCATTTTTTTATATTCAACATTAAATGGGATATAAGCATTGGCATAGGTTTGAAGAGATTAAAATATATATTCATAAATATCATACCTCCAAATATTTGTTCTCAAAAAGAAAATAAACAACAATTTGTTCATAAAAATCAACTATTAATTTTTTTGCAAACTACCAAATTCATTTAGTTTATTCGAGCTAATATGTTACATTAACCATTGTTTGCAAATTTTGTATAATTATAAAAGTAACACAGGTCTTGAACCTTGGATCTAACTTACCTTCAAGATTACTTCAAAATCAATTTTTATTTTTTTGATCGAAAGTCCCTTTTTGACATCGACAATCGTAAAAATGCAAAATTGACGCCTGAATATGTATTAAAATCTAAAATCAAGGTCTCCTCTAAAGGTTAAATGTGTTAGGCTAAGGAGCATTCCTAGAACAATTAGAGAACCTTTAGTAACTTTTAACAAGAATTTCAACCTTGACCTTATTTTGACAGTGACCTTTGAGGTTGAATTCAAGGTCACCATTAAAATCCTTGTTAAAAGTTAAAAAAAAAGCATTTTTCCATCAGTTGTCTAACCTTACACATTTGACCTTTTGAGGCCATCTTTATTTTCGATGTTAATACATATTCGGGCGCAGAATTATTCGTTCTTTTGATTGCCAGTGTCAAAAATGGGATTTTTATTTAAAAAACAAAGGTTAACCTTGAAATAGTCTTGAAGGCGAGGCTCAAGGCTGAATGCAAAGCCACCACTGAACTACTTGTTCAAAGTACTTAACGGGTAACACCACTATAATGATCTACAAAGAAAAGAATAATATTGGAGAAAGCTATTGAGCATATATATATGACAAAAAAAATATTCAAGAATGGTGGCACCGCAGCCAGTTTCGCGAAGCACACGCTGCGCGCAGTGTAGTTACTGAAAAATTTTATCTAAAAAAAAGAAAAAATACATGTTTATAGCTAAATAAATAGGTAGGGACTCTTAAAAATATTGATGATTGATGTGTGGTTGGCGAGTGTTTGAATTAAAACGTTCGACGAAAAAAATTGTAATCATGGATTTTTGTCGCATTTTTGGTAAAATATGTCCAGTGTTCTTCATAGCATCAAATACTTTATGTACCTGAGAATGGCCTAGATGGATGAAACGTGAATTTACGTTGACTGAAACCCATGAATTTTTATTTTAAAAAGTTCATCTTTAGAGATGAGATTGATGGATGGTGACACTTTTCCTTCTAAGAACATAGAATATATATGTGTTAAATAATACAGTTCCCGAAAGGTAGCAAAGCCACGCCCACTTTCTATACTAAAACAATTCCTCATTTTCAAAAATGGACTTTAGGGTTTGACCACAGTTCTACTGCTCGTTAGTTTATATGCTTCAAGGAATACTCTGGGGATGTAGATTTAGATGTAGAAAGAATTTTTCATTGAAATACCAATGTTTATAGATTTTCTATAATGGTTACCATGGAGATTGTTCCAGAACATTCATGATGGGGAATGTGGATGAAGAGGGCAAAAACCTAGTAAAAGCTACTGAAATATGTCTGCATGCAGGTATCAGGGCTTGTAAACCAGGTGAATTTTTCAGGACAATTGGAACAGTGATTGAAGAAACTGCGCATAGTTTAGGGTATCGTGTAGTGCCGGCATTTCTCGGTCATGGTATTGGACATTATTTCCATGGGCCTCCAGATATATTCCATTTTCGTAAGTTTTTTTTAACAAAATAAAGGGTTAATACTATACAGTGAAAATCATACACCACTGACGTCGTAATGATTACAAGAGAGAAGCGCGAGAAGCGTGCAATACGTATGCTACAAAAAGATATAAGCACCACGTTGCCTAGCAACCCGTTTGACGAGGCCATGGACGCAGCCGCGATACCATCGGCGCACTCTTTCTAACATACGCTTTGCACGCTTTTAGCGATTCTCTCTCGTACACATTACGGCGTCAGTGATATTTGGATTTCTCTGTATAGGAAGAAACAGCATTTTTTACTGGAGAGAATGATTAGTCAAGCAAAGAAAGTAAGTAAAGTAATTAGGATATGATATTCGTCTGTTTTTTTTTTGCTAAGATTTCGTCTAAAAATGCATATATTGTCAAAAGTATAGTAACAATACAGGTCATCCAATAGATTGCTTCCTACACATCAAAATCAGTACAGCTGTTACTGAGATTGTACGTGTTAAAAAACATCAGCAGGAAAACTTTCGAACAAGATGGGTAACAAGTAAATAACACGGATATTTGAAAAAAATATGTGTGTTTTAAACCGAAGATATTTAAAATCATAATCAACATATTCTCTACAGAACAACTACTATGATTTTGGTTTTATGTGCCTCACATCCTTGTCAGTATCGCTGTTGCTGCCAGCCACTACGACCGTTATTGGCTATGAATATGAAATGAACACTGTATTTTTATTTTTGAGAAAATATGACTAGAATGATTATTGTATTTTTATAATTATTAACTATAGCGATAACTTATCGACATACTTCCTTTGCAATGATACCATTTGTTCACATATTTTGTAGGAAATAATTACCCAGGACGGATGGAAGCTGGTATGACGTTCACAGTGGAACCTGTACTGACACAAGGTAAAGAAACAATAGAAATTTTAGAAGACGACTGGACTGCCGTAACTGTAGATAATTCACGCACAGCGCAGTTTGAACACACTGTATTAATAACAAATGATGGCGTTGAAATATTGACAGTTTGATATATTTGTTTTGTCCTAGAATAAAATAAAGTAAGCTGAAATAAAAGCTTTATGACTAGTTATAGCACCATACGAAGATCCATAACTACTGAAATGCAATTATTGTAGGCATTTAAGAAGGAATATCAAATATGACCATTTTCAATTAACATGCCCTAATGGTCATTTTCAGTTTGCAAACTGATAAATTCAGTTAACCGGTTAATTGTCAAGTCTGTGTGTTATAGGGCTGCCAATTCAGCTGCCATAATATGCCTAAATGTACACGCACAATGAGGAGAAGCAAAGTGGAGGGAACAGTGGTGACATTTGTCATTTGCACCTTTGTATTCCTCCCCTCAACCAGCCTGCTCCTTTGATGACAACACTATCCATTTTTTGTTAAAGTGGTCCCGTGTACCTTTGCTCTTAGTTAAAAGTCTCGTCGGTCTGTTAATCTGTCAGGTCTGGCTACCCAGATACCAAACATGTTCAAGGCAACAAAGGAGAAAAGGAAAGGAAGGAAGAAATGGAGCAAAGAAAAGAAGTAAATCATTTGAAGCTTAAGCACTACTGATTTGAGTGCTCTTAATAATTTTGAAATAATTTTGATCGGTTTTGTATACTAGAATAATTTTGGTTAGTCTAAAATCACAATTTAATGTTGATCAGTGCGAAGCGCGGTCTGGAGTATTTGCGAACATGATCGACTGTGTTGTCTACTAAATTAGGTAACAGAGGGCTGATTTCACTTGAGATTATAGTGCCGTTGTGCCCGATGTTTTACGTAATCCCTTCCTTAGATATGATATGTCAAGATCTCTGTGAATGGTCTCATTTGTTACGTACCACGTTGGTGATTGTGCGTAGGGTTCTGTTCCAGGAATTGCAGTCTCCGCATGTGTGTCTTGGCAGGAAAGCACCAAGCCGTGTATCTGTAGGTGATTGCGTGTCTTATAACCATTTTATACAACCAAATCTTGAACAAACTAAATTTTGAATTTCTGCACAACAAGATGCCGAAACGTAATTTGGAATTTTTCAAAATATCAGTATGTTTCTGTCAGGTCAACCCCTTGTCAATGTTGGCTCTATTTCTCATTGTTTCCATGGTATTCAAGCCTGATAACGATTTTCGAGACTAGTGACAGATGCAGAAAATGTGTCACTGTGAAATGCTCAAATCCAATTTTAAAAATATACGAAAAAGTAATAGTTACAACGCCTCTTATTCTTCAACATACTTAAAGTATATGTGAACTTTTTCGGATCCTATCTAACTGGTCACATCCAAAAAGTGAAAACATCTAGAGGAACTTCTGATGCACTATAGGATCTTTCAGGGGTCATCAAGGTTCAATACTGAAACCCCTTTAATTGGTATACAAGTTTGAGTTTGATCAAATGCACCATGATACCACACTGCCCTGAATATTCAAATTAAAATACCACAAATCGATTCTATCTATCAACGACACTAATATTCCGTTTTGTTTTTGATAATGTCAAGAATCAAGTTATTATTATTGATTCAAGTCTTAGATTTAACGTGTACCTTGTAAACAGTATCAGGAAATTAAGTTATATGAAGATGAAGCTGTTATAATCATCATATTCTTAACTTCAAAATCCGTAAGTAAAAATTTTTTTAAATGTCTCATTTTGTCAATGTTAGCTTACCCTCTAGTGCTAATTTACTTACATGTCCAGATTTATTTAGTAAATTAAAATTGCCGAAGCTTCAGAACTGTTGCAGATTCATAGGTAGTAGCATTTCTTAAAAAAAAAGTTACATTGGCCTAGAATTGATGGTTTTTCAGTGTTTTCATTGGAGAATAGACTTTTCCAAACCGTTTTTTGTAAAATGAAAACTGCTTTATGCTACCGAGGTTCCCCAGAGCATCAAGCCATATGAGGTGATCTGAAAACCACAGTTTTTGAAATTTCATCGTTTTGGAATAAAGATGTTTTTTAATGTTGATAAATGGATAAGTAGACTGCAGGACCAATTATACCATCTATCTCAAATTGTAAATGCCATAAAATGACTACCCTTACCTGTAAAAATCCAACCCTCACCGTTGCTGAATTAGACAAAAACTACATTTTCTTTATCTTGGTGCTGTTTTAACAGGGTTTCGACATTTTCTAGCTTGACTCTTTTAATGCTAATGTGCAGTTCAATTTGCTTCGGTTGGTACTTCCCTAATTTCGAACCTAATTTCAAGTAGTTCTGATATTTTTCCTCGTTGTCTATTCTGTGGAAAACATCTACTTTTGTCAAACACTTGTCACGAACTCTTGCCAAATGAACTCGCTTTACTTCCGGTATACAGGAAGTAAAGCGATCAAATTGTGAACCAGAAAGATCCTTCCAATCCAACAGGTCCCAATCTTATCCCAGCACTTTAACATTCTCAACTTCTCTAAAGATATTTCAATATTCTTCGTTTGTGGTAGTTTCAAAACGCTTTCTGCAGACCTTTTCAATCCGACCGAATACTCTGTCCGCAGGTAGATAAGAATGACTTCGCACCGGAAAATACAGCACCACCTCTTAAATACGTTTAGGTGCCTTAGCGGAAAGCCAGAACGTCAACATAGGGATAATAAAAGAATTTTTATTTGGTCCTCAACATCCATCGGCGAATAGTCTAACCAATTTGCAACTCTGAAAACTCGCGATTTGTCAAGAAATGGCATAAGGCTGATCCTATCGCATTCGGTTCCCTTTTCGCATGGTTCTCTGTCCAAGTATAACAGTAAGGACTCTTGTACTAGGTTCTACAATACAAAAGTTGTACAAAGCAAATTGACGCAAATAAAATGCTTCCCCTATATTCATTTTAGGCAAAGCATGAACTTGCTGCAAGTCAAAACATACTGTAAAGCTGTTCTTCGGACTTTCTTTCAAAAAAATGTGGAATTTTGTTTAGTCCTCAATTTATGAATTCTTAGTTCAGTAATAGATTTCCGTTTCAAAGCTGCATCCTTCGTGGATTTAATTGTATTTTTAAGCCTGTACATATACTGCATAAATCTTTTGCTAGATTTCCAAAGCCGAGATTGAAATGGCGTACAAAAATGTTATAAACATATCGACGAGACACCTTTAAATTCAGTTCAACAGTCATTATAGTAAGTATTACTGTATAAGTCTTGATGTTTCGCTGTTTAAATCTGATGAGAGATAAAGTCTCTTTGATTTCTGACGATTGAGTGTCTTTCACGTGCATGTGAATTCCCAATGAATTTTTTACGACATATTTTTTGCTTCTTCGATCACCGCCTCCCTTCTCAATCATCTGCCCTTCTGCCTTTTTGTCTATACTAAGGATATTTCGTTGCGTATTTTTCAAAACAGAAACGTTTTTTGGCACACCAACACATTTTATTATCTATAGTTGCTTTTACAGGTTGTCTGTACACAACTCTCACGGATGAGAAAATCTTCACCATAGAAGAAAAATTCAACCGACAAAATGACAAAGTGTATGCAAGGAGTTCACAGGAAGTTTCGGAGATCATTCCGAGAGTTGAGAGAGGCCACCACCCTGCGTCAGTCATGGTTTGGTGGGGGGTGTCCTACGAAGGGGTCACTCAGCTCCATTTCTGTAAACAGGGCGTGAAAACAAAAGCGGCAAACTATCAGAGCGACATACTGGATCCTATCGTCAAGCCTTTAAGTGGTACATTGTTTGCCAACCAACACTGGGTCTACCAGCAGGATTCCGCCCCCGCTCACAAGGCTAAGAGTACGCAGCGCTGGCTGGAAAGCAATGTGCCAGAGTTCATTGCTGCGGAAGATTGGCCCTCAGGGAGTCCGGACCTCAATCCTTTAGACTACAAGTTGTGGGACCTGCTAGAGCAGTTGGCCTGCTCCAAAGCCCACCGTAATATCGAGTCCCTGAAAGCGGATTTGATCCGATCAGCGGCAGCTATTCCTTTGGAAGCTGTGCGTGCAGTGATAGATGAGTGGCCCGCGAGATTGAAGCAGTGTGTGAAGGCCAAGGGGGGACATTTTGAATAAAACTGTTTGATTATGAATTCTAAAAATGTTGTCGAATAAATAATATCTTTCATATAAATATATCTTATCTTGTTTCATTTTTATCATGAGATTATCATGGGACAGAACTTATGGCACGACTACGTATACTAAGTGACATATAAATCCGAACACCCAGTTTAAATGGTTTTATTTTAATAAAACTTTGTATAAGTACTTAATGAAGCATAATAAGTAAATGATAAAAATTTCAAAATGATTGCACTGCTTTAAAGCCCTTTGACCTTTAATAATGTGTGGATGCACCCTGATGTGCTACGCATTCTCCAACGCTCCTAGGTATGCTTCTCATCAGGTGGTCAATGTCCTCCTGTGGTATCTCATTCCAGGCAACCACCAACTCCTCTCGAAGTGCTTCTAGAGTCTGAGGAGGACGTTGCAAATTGAGCAATCTCCTACCCATCATATCCCACACGTGCTCAATTGGGGATAAGTCGGGAGATCTTGGTGGCCATGGTAACAATGTGACATCATTATGTTGAAAGAAGTCTATTGTGACTCTTGCAACATGTGGTCGGGCATTATGTTGTTGGAAAGTTGGATCTGCCAGGGTGTCAAGATAGGGTAAAAGATGGGGTTCTAGAACTTCGTGGATATAACGCTGCGCGTTCATGTTACCTCTGATGAAGATTAAAGGTGACCTGGAACCATAAGCTATAGCACCCCAAACCATAACTCCAACAGTGTGATGAACATGTCTTTCAACAAAAAACTGTGGATTCCTCCTTTCACCACGTCGCCTTCTAACCCTGGCACGACCATCGTGCATGCCTAAACAAAATCTAAACTCGTCACTAAAGACAATACTGTTCCATTCCTGATCCCAGAGTGACCGTTGTCTGCACCACTCAAGGCGATTACGTCGGTGTTCTCGAGTTAAAGGGAGGACCCAGTGTGGCAGGTATGAAAACAAGCCAAAACTTCTCATTCGTCGGTGAACACTTCGCATGCCAATAGGTATTCCGTGTTCTACAAACCATTCATTTGCAATGGTCCTGGTAGTGGAGAAACGGTCCCTTAAGGCCAATAATCTTAGGCGGCGATCTTCACGGTCTGTTGTTCTACGGCGGCGTCCAGTGCCCCTTGCTCTTTGCGTACGGCCTTCTCGAAGCCATGCCTGACAACACCTAACCACAGTGTCTACACTTCTTTGCACTCTAACTGCAATTGCCCGAAAAGAAAGTCCAGCGTCCCGAGGTCCCACTATACGGCCCCTATCAAACTCACTAAGTTGACGAAATCGTACAGGTCTCTCCGTACTCTAGGCATCGTAACCCATCGTAAAGGAAGTCAAGAACCAAAATCCGCCAACGTTGATTCTTTACTGCGGCTGAAATATTCATTTTTAGAGCGTTAGTGAATTAAAAAAAAGCAGTATAAAAACCGGATTGTCCAACTGATGAGGCTGAAAATTTTTTCACTTGTTATTTACAGTAAGATAAATACGTTCACCAACTTTTATTAAAATAAAACCATTTAAACTGGTTGTTCGGATTTATATGTCACTTAGTATATGTTTAACATCTGTAGAAACTTCACGGCACTGAGCGCAGTTCTTAAATACTTGAACTTCACTTTAAAATCTTCCGCATTATTCAAATGACTCATGTATCTATAATAATAAAAGAATATAAAACAACTTTGTCGCCACCGACTTTTATATTCAAACTTACCGCATTTGTTTTGGCCTTTCTCGTTTAGACATAGTTTGTTTCTTTTCCTCGAATCCCCAGATGCTTCACTAACTAGCACTATACTACTATCATTCATTTTTAATATTAAAGTAATGCGCAATTTAGCAGCAACAGATCACAAAAATATAACATGCTCACTACATAACTGCTGGTAAACAACTGCACTTTTCACACCTGGTCTTAATAACCCCCACTTATTCCAACAAATACTGCGTTTTGTCGTGCAAGTGTAGTTTTAGACCCCAATTAGACATTTGTAAAGTTGCATTATGATTTTTCAAGCATGAAGTAATAGACTGCGTTTTGTTTTTCCAAGTTGAAACAAAAGACTGCGCTTTGCCGAACACCACAATAATTCACTGGCACTGAATATCATAGGGAAAAACTGCAGTTTGACGTTCTTAATTAGGTTTATCGTGTAGAGGATCATTGAAAATATACTATCACATGCCTAATTCAATTTTGAGAATTTTTAAAAAAATGCAGTTTGCAGATCACCTCCTCATATGTAATGGGACATGCTGAACTACACCCACATAGTATGGCTATTGAGACATCTAAGCTGCCTAAGAACAAATAATTGTGTAGACTGGCTAGAATGTGAATAATAATGTCCAGCTTAGTCTGGTATCGAGTACTATACCTAACAGTTTTACTGGCTCCGATTTCACAACCCACCTGTCAGAGGAGAGGAACATGTACAACCATGATTTGGCTTGTTCCAGACTAACTACACCTGTGTTTTGGTCAGGTCTAGACAGCAAGGTGGTATCATCTGCAAATAGTAAGCACGATCTGTTATAAATAATATGTAGCATGAATCGCAAATTTAGACAAAACATGCTGACAAAGTCTTCCCCTTTATTCTTTGGCTCTTATTTTTCAATTTCCTTCTCTCTGTAACGCTGTGTTTCTTGGACCAATAGTCATACCTGGCTAGTTTAACACAAACATGTTATAGCAGGATAGGTCGCAATTCAAGTAATTTGATTCACCTCAAGATTCCTGCATCATTTACTTACAGACTTCAGTGGAAATAAAAGACTCGTAACTTTCTATAAGACTTTCTTTTCTTATAAACGGTATGTACAGAGTACAATATTTAAAATTCAGTGTACATATTGCTTCCCACTTTTAACTATACAATTATTTTTACAACCATTAAAAGTGAGTGGATGTGAAAATAACCAAAACACTCTTACAACATCCGAGGTGAATTTTTGTATAAAATGGAATGTTTTATACTGTAAAAAACTAGTGAATATATTCTTTGGTTATTTTCTCATTTTTGTCGTCATTGACTTATATACAAATATGGATGGCCCTTAAATGCTGACATATCTTTACAAGCAACATTTTTTCATGTTATAAAAAATATAATTTTGTACTTTCTGCTAGTTTACTATCGTTTCAAGATTACTAATGCTAAGTTTGATAGAATATTTACCATAATGAACAAATATTAAAACTTTCCATAGATTTAAACTCCTTTGATTAAAAAAACGTTGGTAAATTAACATAAGGTTTATTATTCACACAGTCTCCTTTACACAAAAATATTGAATTCTGAATAACATATATTCTGGTGCTGTGAAAGTTGGATTCTAAAGACTATATGAGATTCTATGGAGACTCAAAAGTTATAAAAAAACGTCATCTCACTTTGACGTAATAATGTGTATTGCTTTATGCCATCCAAATTGATCATGATCTCTGCGGCAAGAAAATTTCACTCATACTGCTAAAAAGAATATGCCAACATGTTTAAACAACCGTAAAAAATGTTCTCCGAAAAGCGAAGCAGTCTGCATAATAATAATTAATTTATAAATAAATTGTTACAAAAATGTGTCTCTTTTTGTACTATAAAATATAAAAACATACAGAACATGAGAAAACAATCAACAAAGTAAAAACAATCCTCATTCCAGTTCAAAAAACGAGTCAACTGCACTTAGTACTTCTAAACTGGAATAGTCAAGAGCATATAACAAGCTTTAAATCCATATGTGGCTTACTGTAAAAGATCTGTACAAAAGAAGAAAACAAATAGACAGTACTTTTGTTCCTAAATTAAATACTAATCAAAAATTATCACTTGAAGGCTGGTTTCACAACATTGTGCGCAAATAAAGAAAATGAAAAATGTCTCGGGACAATAAGTAATAACACTTCAGCGGCAATAGGAGTCGTGGAGATCTATTGTTACACGCGTTTGATCTCATGATTCAATTACACATTTAAAAAACGAATTACTTTAATGAATTTTTTTGAGATTATTGACCACAAATAACATTAAACGTTCTTCAATAAAGTTCAATCTCGTATTTTCAACTTAAAAATATCATAAAATACCAATGAAACAAGGGATCTTCACATCACGCATTACCTAAAGATGCCTCACTTCTGACAAATGTTTGTGAACAGCTGCAAGTTGTACAGTCTAATTGCCATCCAAAATAACTATCTTTAACACTTATCTCGTTTGCCTCAAAACATTTGTCAGAATAAAATTTATGCACAATTGAAAACTGAATGGCATAACGCAAGGAGTAGCGCAATGCTTGTGGAGTGGATCAACACGTTTGTCATTTTATTGATCTCACCAATAGACTAGAAAATAAAGCACAAGGCGATTCAAGTCAAAATCACTGACAATTTTGACATCATTTCTTTTTTAGAAGAAATTTGAGTATTTTCATCACAGCTGATACTTTTGGTAACTTTGCATATGGACAGTAGTAGAATTGCGTAAAACTACAAAAATTATGTCAAATAATAATAATAAAAATTTTAGGTTGAAAACATCTTTTTTTTAGACTGCAACCTAAAGTGACTGGGAAGTTGCATTACAAAGGAATGTCAGGTTTAAGATTTTTAAAAAACCCTCTCACCCAAAAATGGTCAGAAACTCGAAAAAATTAAGTTTAAGGACAATCTGAAATTTTAATTTTGCTGATAACTCATCTTCACTGGACTGATATTCAAAACATACCAATATTTTTCTTCTTTATAGTAACCTTTTGTAAAAACATCATCAACCTCCGAACACTTTCCGAATTATGGAAGGATCAAAGATTACCAGAGAGACCAATGGAAGTGGGTGGTTTCTCGTGATGTACATTGTAACGCTTCCTTTCCGCAAAAAGTCCAGAAAAGATGGAATGCAATGAAGATTCCAACTTTTCTGCACAATCACAGAAAGGGGGTTACCATTAGCTTCCGGTAGCTCAGTCGGTGGCATAAAGACATCTACAGACGTGTAGCTATATGTCGACCATGGCATGGCTAGAGGATAGAAGAACAAACAGAACACAAAAATTTCACAGATTTTATTTAACAAAAAAGCATTTTCATTACATTTGAAATTTTAAAGAACAAAATAAGTTTTAAATCTTTGGCGCTGCTATAAAACTTATCTTTCGCTGGTCCATTTTGACTGGACTGAAGCGAGGATGGCCAGGTGCTGCGTGCTGCAATCGGACGGTGAAACCGTTACACTCGCCCCTACTTAACCAGAAAAAAATTCGAAGAAGCATTCAAGAATCTTTTTTTTAACAAGGAAATTGAAAGTTATCACGGAAGGACAAATGTACAACTATTCGACCAGATAACAAGTAGCAAAAGTAAGGTAGAAACAAAAATGTTGGAAGAGAATTGGAAGAAAAAGGGATAGCCTCAAGTCTACCAAACAAGAGGGATGGTTATAGCACCAACTCGCTGAAAAGTACAGTGAAGTTGCACTTAAAAAAACTATCATCATATGATGAACAACCCAAAACATAAAACATCATCACACCTAGGACGAGAAAAATAATAAACCAAAAGCTACAGCAGTAGTCCAAGCACGAAGTGAGGAATCACAATGACATCCAAAATGCACGACTGACTACTAAAAACTTCAACACTAAGTAAGTACCTAAACCATAAGAGGTACTAAAAAAAAAGAATAATAAACTTTCTCAAAACAATTGCCAGATTATCTCGCAATGCTCCAAACCCAAAAAGAATATCATCTACCGTGATATTTTAAACCAATATCCAATATAAAAAAACAGTGCATTACTATTTTCAAAATATGAAAATCAAAAGAAATTAACAAATTCCATTAGGAATTCAAGTCATATAACAAACCAATTTACAAGTACTAAACCAATGAAAACTTGATCAAGAGGTATTTTAATCAAAAAAGATGTTAACTAAGTGCAGTTCTGATTCCACAAAAAAATTGTCGAGCGCCAGCAGTCTGTAAGACTACAAAATAATTCAAAATGTTTTCAGAGAATTGAAGTATATAAGAGACATTCATGAAATATTGAAGTAAGATTTTCAAAGTCAAAATATAGCTAAAGTTCAATCAATCAACTAAAATTCAAAAGTTCAATCAAAATTTTCGGGTCATGTGACAACATAAGAACCAGACCAAAAAAAAAACTAAGTGCAACACAAGTGCAACTGTAAATCTAATAGTATTAAAATCATAAAGTGAAAGGAAATATCAAAGCTATGTGAGCATGATTTTATAAAGAATTCTCAAAAAAAAACGAAGCAAAATATTAAGAGTTTCATGAGTAATAATTGAGAAACGAAGTGAGCATATGTAAAATGCAAAATAGCGAAACGAAAATCACAAGATATTTTAATAAATCATGATACATGAGAGTAATGCCGCAAGCAAAAATTGTATGCAAAAGTCTACGATATATGTAGGTGCAAAATTGGAGTTATAAAAAAACAATCTAGTGAAAAAGAAATAGAAATAAATATGATAGGTAAGAATTCGATTTAAAGCAAAAATATGAGAGAAAGACAACTTTCAAGAATGTCTATAGTCTATGGAATATTCTCATGTAGATCACTGATATCATCAGCGCACTTCAAAGTCTACACTGAGAATAACCATATCATTGTAAAATGAAAGTTAAGTTCAAATATGAAATATTACAAGATTAGAAAGAAATTAGAACTATAATAATTTACCAGTGTAAAGTATGAAAAGAGAATTACTATACTGAATCTATAAGGATTGGCGATTACTTCAAGTCAAGACAGAAATTGAAAGAAATAAGAATTCGGAAAAAAACTATGAGAGCAGACTATCAGAACAAATGCAATAATGCAAAAGCAAAATCACCAGATACTTCAAAATCTATAGCGAAGCATGAAAGCAATGTCGCAACCAAGCTCAAGACTTAGCAATACGCACAAATGTGCACAAAGGCTGAAAGCATATATGAAAAATCTCAAGAAGGAATTGACAATTACTTCAAATCAAATTGAACTGATTGAATTGAACTGAGACATAAATTACTATATCAAAAGTGAGTTTTACTTATACGCCAGAGGTTTCAAGAGTTTATCAATACGCACAGATTTGCAACTAGGCGGAAAGCATATAGATAAGTCTCAAGAAGAAAATAAAATGCATATGAAGAAAACACTTTCAATTAAAGAAACTGTGGATAGCACAAGACCCTCAAAGGCATACATCGCAACGAGATATAAGTATAAATCAGGTGAAAACCCAAGCAATCCAAGGATCAAAAGAGCCACCTGGGCCAAAATGTGTCTTTTAAACACCTTTGCAATTACCTCAATATTCACGCTTATAAAAAAAATACAAGGAGGGATTTCAATTACATGTCCGTTAGTTACTGTCAACGGAGGTATAGTAAGGATAATACCACCTGCAGCCTGCACGATATCTTCTAGCTTCTCTAATATAACTAAATCCTATCCTACCACATCAGATATTCCCGGTAGGTGGTATGGACTTTTAACTATAATATGTGAAGGAAATGAATGTGTTGAAAAAAGACTTAGTCCTATAAATAAATGCAGTGATTGCACACTTTGTTATCATGATCTATTCATAGATATATGCAGAAAGAACAAAATCTTATATGGACTGGGTATTGCATTAAGTATCCTGATACTAATAATCTTTGCATTAGTACATTATATATTAGGGCGTCATACTGAGTGGTATCCTAATTTACTCACAAAGACAGAATCCAAAATACGTCATAAATTTTGCACGTTAGAGACATTATGAAGAGAGAGAAAAAAGCAGACAAAATAGAACAATTACAGAGGATAATAGAGAGAAGGAGAATAGAAAAATCTATCAATGATGAGACTAGTGAAGTATGAAACAAACAGTGCCAATTTTACACATATAGTATATTACCCAAACATAAATACACGATACAACATGCATTTCATGATCAAAATCTATATTATTTTTACTAACAATTCAGAAAAAAAAAAGAAGTGTAACGGTTTCACCGTCCGATTGTATTTATTAAATCAGTTCTCGATTATCATTTCAGAATCCCAAATCATTAATCCCATCTCTAGCTTTTTTACTTGGAAAATTTTCCGCTTGGAGCGCTTGATGCGGAGTTCCTGATCTGCGATCTTCCTCGCGTTTCCTTTTCACTTGAGCCGCCGATCTAGCAAGAGCCAAGAATTTTGTTCTCTGTAGCATGAGGTCATATAGCGCCATGTGCTAGAATTTTGTAGAATGTGTGTCCGAATAGGACAAAATGATTGGGGCCACCCCCTTTCCCTTTGTCTTTGCATTGCTTGGCCTATCACTTCACCCATGCATGTGCCTTGGCAGCGCCATCGCCTTTAAGTTCAACTTCGCCTACATCTAGTTCTGAAGCCACTAAATGTGAGGTCACCCCTCATAACTGGGACCTCCACTTCAAGCACCTGGCCATCCTCGCTTCAGTCCAGTCAAAATGGACCAGCGAAAGATAAGTTTTATAGCAGCGCCAAAGATTTAAAACTTATTTTGTTCTTTAAAATTTCAAATGTAATGAAAATGCTTTTTTGTTAAATAAAATCTGTTAAATTTTTGTGTTCTGTTTGTTCTTCTATCCTCTAGCCATGCCATGGTCGACATATAGCCACACGCCTGTAGATGTCTTCATGCCACCGACTGAGCTACCGGAAGCTAATGGTAACCCCCTTTCTGTGATTGTGCAGAAAAGTTGGAATCTTCATTGCATTCCATCTTTTCTGGACTTTTTGCGGAAAGGAAGCGTTACAACATGTCATCACTGATTAACATATGCTCACCAGAAAAATACCTTAATCATCAAATTAACATACTGTCACTAGAGAATATCTAAATCAGTCATGTCATGGAACATCCAAAAAACATAAGATTGGATTTTGATACTTTGTGTTGCTAAAATATATATATATATATATTAAATAAAAAATTTCGGCGCATTTTTAGTAGAAACGTTCATTATGTATAGATTTACTATAAAAAAATTACAACATAAAAAATCAAGTTTACTAACGTCAGCAAAATACAAACAGCAATATTACCAAATTTAGGTATTGGGATATTAAAAAAAAATCATCACTTTACGCGAATAAAAACGAAAGAATATACAGGTTAAATTCGCTTATACTTTCAATTTCTGTAATCAATAATACTAAATGAATATAGTCAAAATATAAAATTACAGGTTCCCACCGATCCGATCCACTCCACCTGACATACTTGCTCTTACGTGCGTCAGCTCTGTTTCCAATCAGCTACACGTCGCTGCACAAGCAGGCTCAGCCTGTTTACCATTCGACCTAACGCTTCCCGTATTCCGCCCACTGTCACTTTACGCGGCGGCCCCCTCTTCTGCAATAGGCACCGGAACTCCAGCAGGCGTAACTAATCGCTCCACTTTATACCTGTTGTACGGCACATAAGGCGTCCGTGATATATCGTTGTCAGACACCACTCGCGTTCGATTCGGAGCCACGCCCTCGCCGCGACCCATCAACCAATCCGTGCACAGCTTCTGCTGGGCGTCCGACACGTGGGAGGTGGCCCAACGACGTAGCCACGCTCTGAAACGAGCGCCTTTGCGCTTTGTCACCGTCGGATGGGACTGAAAAGAAACAACGCAAATTAATCTACAGAGATCCATCGAAGCCTTACTTATACAGGGTAGTTCAAAAAACCAGTGACAATATTTCTGAGATAATAAGTCCAAAAATTAACACGGGAAGTTCCTATGAACATTGGTCCTCCTAGGGTACCGTTCGAATCAAAGATTTTTTACTGCGATGCTTTCTTCGCTACATCGATGAGCGCTTCCTCATGACTTTCCTCGATATTTCTACATGGATGGAGGGTGTTCATGCTGACTCATCCTCGCTGTTCTCCCTTATGTCTTCAAACGCGTTTTTAGTTTCTCGAGTTGTTCACGAGCAAATAATAAGTGAGGTTGTTGACGAATAACAGTAAAAGAGCATTATCAGTCTAGCCCAACGAATTAAAACTAGGTAGAAGGAACCAGTCAAGGGTTTGTTTGTTCCCCAAATCATATAGTCTGTAGTGAGGATCAAAGTGCATACATACTACAAAAGCCAATTTTTTTTACAGTTCTGTCATTTAATTCGTATTTTAGCGTTATTTTTTAAGAGTGGTGTGGTATTAGACGGTTTCAAAACATAGTATTTCTTACATAATTTGCAGAGCAGCAGAAGCCTAATGTAAGATGTTTCCACCATAATTGTTATTATTATGTCGATACAACACTGTCACTTTTGAAGGCATTGGTAGTCAAATAAGTCCAAAGTATGCATTGAAACTTTTGGCGACAAACAATGCAATGTAAACATATAAGCTTGGCTCCGTATAATCTATTAAAAATTCGTTGGACTAGCCCACCTCGATGCTTCACCCTGACAGTAAGACATTTTTTTCTTGCAGTCGTCGGCGAGCGAAGATAGCGGTGAAGAAACCTTTGTTACCCCTTCTTAAACCGTGCGTTTGTTTTACATTGAGGCAGCGCAAGCATCGCAATAAGCATCTTGACTATGAATGTACCCCTACCGTGATAGAGAGAAAGAAGAAAATCTTGTATATGTAAGTCCTGTTCGTACAGCTGTCGCCAACCTGTCAATGACCGTGTCCAAGATCCCGCCACACAAATTTCGCTCACTCTCTCATTGATGGAATCCACATGGCCGAATCACAGACATAGCCACCGGCCCCTGTACGAACAAACCTGTGGTACCCAGCACGATCCATACATACACAAATTTTGACGGCTCAATCTACACCAGTGAGGAAGATTAACGGGATATTTTGACTCTTACTACCTACCCTAGGGCGTTCCTAAATAGTATGAAGCATGGTGAAGTTGATAAAGTTTGAATTGTTTCCTGCCTGTCATTAATGCTTAGAAATTTATGTGTATCTTGCTGATAGACTATTTTAGGGCCTATGCTTATCGGGACTTTTTATGTTCAATTTGGATTTACTTTTTATTTAGAAATTGTTTTTCAGATTGTATAGTTGGAAGATTCATATACTTGGAACTCTTCAATGATAAAGCATAAAAAATCGCTTTCAATTTATAATTTGCCTACCAAATTCTCGATTGTTATTACATTTACAGTTCAAACGTGGTTATTTTTTAGTATGGTATTTTCAAAATAATTTCAATATGAATCATAGTATACATACACTAGACACTGTGAACAACTTTGAAGATTCAGCAAAACATCTGCTTAGGATACACTTGACTTAACTTATTTTGGCACAAGTACTTTCTGCATTTGGTACCTAAACACAACTTTTAACATTTAGTACTGCGTCTTAGTATACAAACAACCATGGATCGTCGTTCTAAAGCAACACACTATCAGAATAGGATATTTCTCAAAAAACAGTTTTGACGAAATATGAAAATTTGGCCTCCAAAGAGCGTATGTTGAGCGTTTTCGCTTTAATATTCAATTGGACCTTCAAAGTTCAAACATGAAATTTCACGTCAAATCTGCGGTGTAATAACTTATACGGTGATGTAGTAAGTTTTTCTACGCCGTACTGACCCTACTTCTGCCATGAAGGTTAGGCTTTAGTCAGACGCGAGGAGAATATTGGCTAATCCTTCGACAGGAAATTTAGTGGATTTAAATGGAGTGTATGGATTTCAAATACAATAATTCCAGGACATGAGCAAAAAAAAAATATGATTGCAAAAATCCTGAAAATGAATGTAAATATTCTAATGCCAGCTAAACAAAATGCCAATTATCGCCGCTGAGACGCTCTCTTAATATATTAAAGCAAATAAGTGTAGGACAGTTTGAAAGTAAATGGAGGATGATATTGATAAGTACTTACCTTTTTAGCTCTATGGAAGGCACTTATATTGTACAAATAACTATTCTTGGAAATGGTAAACATGATCTTGGAGTCTTGCGGGTTGAACTTGCACTCCGTATCGTCGTTCACATCGTAACCCGGATGTTCTGTTTGGTTCCTTTCCGGGGGCGGTCGTTCAGCCAGCTTCCTCTCGATCGCGTCCAAGAAAAAGTCGTCCTCGTTGTTTGAACCGCTCCTGCCGTTGTTTTTGTTCTCGATCTGCTCCGGTTGCTGTAGCCTGCTCTGCTTCTTCTTCTCTTCGTCTTCCATGCTGCTCGTCTCTGTATCGGGTTGCGACTGTTGCAGCTGTTGGTGGTTCTTCACCAACGTCGAAGTTTTCTTCGCCCTGTTCAGGCTAGCTACTCGTTTTTGGTACAACCTAGAAACAATGCAAATGGGATTGAAGCAACTTACGAGGGTTGATCCCTATGCTCTGCCCCGACTCCTTTGCAGATGCTAATATGATGAATGTTGATATTAATATATACTGTTTTGATGTTGATCTGCTTTTTGGTTCATGTTGTCAAGCATTCTAATAGGATATGACTAGATCCTGACGAGGAAAAAGCCTTAATATACGTAAAAAGGGTATGACGCCCACTGAAATTCATCGAAATATTGTGGCACCTGTTGGAGGGTGTGCAGGTTCTTATAAGACATACAAAGCTCCACAAACTTATGAGGTAGAAATAAATATAAATCAGCAACTCATGACGTCTATAACATTTTGAAGCCGCGGTTCAGAAATTGTAATTTTCCGGATGGCTTGCCAGGCTGCAATGATATAAACATTTAGGGTCAGCGACTGATAAGTCGTAAGTACAGTTTATAATGAAATGTAAGTTGTGTTGCATTTACCTCAGATTCCTATCCAAATAAACCGGGGACTTAGGTTTGTTCTCTACATTTGCACAATTCGTGTAGTTTTCCTTGTAGTTGCTCCATTTTTTTGCTTCGTCTACCTTTTTCGAATCTTCAGGTTCTGTATCAAGCAACTCTATCGTCATCCGACAGTCGTTCTTATAAATGTAGATCTTGAAACAATTTTCTTCTTGCACAGCCTTTTCTGCGGCTCGTTGGTACGCCAACTCAAGGTGCACCTAATCAGAAAAAACCTTAATCAGAACACGCTCAAATACAAAGAATAGTACTATTCGATAGCTATTGTAGCATGATAATATGGTATGACAAAACAGGCGAAGATCTTTTATAAACATGTAGGTCTAGATTCTTACCCTTTTATGAGCCGTCACACACGGACCACCAGCAACGCCACGTTTTTGTTCTTTGAGAAGCAGATCTGTACATGCAATTGCAGTCCTCTCTGTTACACAGTGTTGCAACTGCCTCACAGCATAAGAAATCACTTTGTCCAATGTGAATGCAATGTACGCGTGTATACCTTAAAATAAAATATGAAAATTAGTAGATTATTTGAATGCCATATTGATAATCATTATTTTGCACCTTATCAACATCACCCTACATCATGTATCGTTGTATTGGACAAAATACAGGGTTATCCAAATTAAGTGTCCACCATTAGTAACTTTGTTATTAGTGAAAATACAAAGTTGTTTGAATTAGCAAACTAGTAGCATTTTTAACGCTGGTAAAAATGAGAAATAAAAAAAACAATTGAGAGTCGTTATTTTGATTTTTTTCAGTAAAATAACATTTTTTTAAATGGAAACCCCTGTATATTATATTTTTTTCTGTTAAAGCATCAAATTTTAAACAAAAAAGCTTACAATAACTTTTCTCCTAGGTTACAAATTGTTGAAGTTATGGCCTCCAATCGGAAACAATTAAATTGTATCGACAAACTTTATTTTCAACATCAACTTATAATCTTACAAAATACAATAATTTTTTTTAAAGAAGATGCTCGAAAACACCACCTTGTTCTTCAATACATTTTTGGGCACGTTTTTCAACTGCTCGAACTGTCTTAAGTATGGTCCTACCATCTATCTGGGTTATCTTTTCCCTAACTGCAGTCTTTAACGCGTCAAGGTTATCGTACCTTCGCTTGTAAATTTGGTTCTTTAAGTAACCCCACAAGAAGTAATCAAGTGGGTTTAGATCTGGTGATCTGGGAGGCCACTGTATTGGGCCATTTGTTCCTATCCACTGATCATTAAAAGTAGTACTTAGAAAATGATAAGTACCTCTGGAGTTGTGGGCAGGTGCGCCATCTTGCTGAAAATGCAGATGATGTCTACTTATAAGATCCAATTCGTCTAAGAAATTAGTCAGAATTTCTGACATAAATTCCACATATCTTTCACCAGTTAGGGTTCCCTCATAAAAGAACGGGCCAACAATTTTTGAACCAATTATACCGCACCAAACGTTGAAACTGAAACGGACTTGTGGGCCTCTTGGATGTACTAACAAAAGATTTTCTCTTGACCAATAATGGTGGTTTTTTCTATTAAACATTCCAGAATTTGAAAAATTTGATTCATCTGTCCATAAAAGGTAACGAAAGTTATTTACATTTTGGCGACAGAAGCTAAGATACCAATGGCAAAAAACAAGTCTTCTCTCTGGATCCCCTGCCAAAAGCGTTTGAACTGGTCGGTACTTATACGGAATAAATTTGTATTTTTTTAAAATCCTTTGAACAGTACCATAACTGAAATTAGAGTCCTTGAGAATATCTGCTATTGAATTCTCACGATAAGCTTCAAAATATCCAATAACTGCAATTTCGGTGGCCTCGCTTATTATGAATTCTTTTTTTGCCCTTGTTTTAGCAAAAACATTTTCGTTGCCCCTAAATTTTCGATAAAGTCTCAGAAAATATCGTTCATACGGTTGAATGCGAGCGGGATATAATTCACTGTAGTATTCTCTTGCTCTCAAGGAGGATTTTCTGCACACTAAATAGCATTCTAACATATCACACTTTTCTTCATGGGAGAACATTTTTCTTTAAATTAATGACACAATAAAGCTTATAAACAAGTATTTACACTAATGTTTGACATTATTTGATTTTATCATTGTTTTCCAAAGCCTTCTAGTTGCGAGTATGTCCAGTTTAACAATTTGTCGCTTATCTTAATGCTGTCAAATCGCGAACGCCATGTTGTTTTCATAGCCGTCTTAATATTATAATACTGCAAATAATTAAAAATATTTATCGTTATTTTGACTTTATTTTTGACTTTAGCGGAAAGTCATTATGAACTTTTTTGTTTAAAATTTGATGCTTTAACAGAAAAAAATATAATATACAGGGGTTTCCATTTAAAAAAATGTTATTTTACTGAAAAAAATCAAAATAACGACTCTCAATTGTTTTTTTTTATTTCTCATTTTTACCAGCGTTAAAAATGCTACTAGTTTGCTAATTTAAACAACTTTGTATTTTTACTAATAACAAAGTTACCAATGGTGGACACTTAATTTGGATAACCCTGTATAGAAATAAACTAATCGAAAAAATTAAGGTATTTAATAAAAATTCTTTACTGTATCTCATTACAAATTGAGGTTCTAGCGAAGCATTTCAAATCTCCAAATGTCGTATTTGGATCTATTAGCAAAAAAAAATTACGAGGGCTGTTTGATAAGTCAGTGACTTTTTAAATAAAAAAAATGTTTTTCGGCAAATAAGCATTTTATTTCTCAACATAATCTCCTTTTAGCTCGAGCCATTTAGTCCAGCTTATTTCCAATTTCTTAATTTCTTCCAAATAGTAGTTTTTATCAAGGCTCCCAAAATATGCGTTAGTTTCAATGATGACCTCTTCATTCGACACAAATTTCTTACCACCCAGCCATTTTTTCAGGTTTGGGAATAGGAAGTAGTCGCTGGGGGCTAAATCTGGAGAATAGGCTGGATGGGACAGCAGTTCGTAGCCCAGTTCATGATTTTTTGCCATCGAGACTACACACGTGTGTACCCGTGTGTTGTCTTGATGGAACAGCATTTTTTTTTCCCCAAATGCGGTCGTTTTTGCTTCAATGCAACGTTGAATCTGTTTAACAGCTCTGAATAGTACTCTCCCGTGATCCTTCTGCCTTCTCAAGGTAATGGATGTAAATTATACTGCATGCGTTCCATAAAGCTGTGGCCATAACCTTGCTGGCTGACAGACTCACCTTGGCCTTCTTTGGAGCACGCTCACTATGTGAAACCCACTATCTTGATTGTTCTTTGGTTTCTTGTGTATTGCGATGAAACCATGTTTCGTCTACAGTTATAAAACCGCGCAAACATTCGTTCGGATTGCGGCTGAACATCGCCAAACATTCCCTTGAAATGGTCACACGGTTGCGCGTATGGTCGACTGTGAGCAATCGCGGCACCCATCTCGCGGATAGTTTTTTCATGTCCAAGTATTCATGTAAAATGTGATGTACCCGCTCAGTAGAGATGCCTACAGCATCAGCTACTTCACGTATTTTTATTCTCCTATCTTCGAAATCTTATCCACGATTTCTGGTGTGATGACCTCTTTTGGGCGACCTGCACGTTCGGCATCACTTGTGCTGGTTCGACCACAACGGAACTCAGTAAACCACTTCTTCACCATTAAAATAGATGGTGCAGAGTCCCCATAGTATTTGTCAAGCCTTTCCTTGGTTGCAGTAATGTTTTTTTTTTCGCAAAAAGTAATGTTTAATTAGAACACGAAATTCACTTTTCTCCATTTTTGTTAGAATTGTTAGAAATGACATAGCTTGTTCAAATTTTAACAGTTGTCATATAAAAGATGGCAGTTGACGGCAGCAGTGTTGCATTCAAAGTTACTGCGCGTGAAATTCAAAAAGTCACTGACTTATCAAACGGCCCTCGTAGAAGGTGCTGATTTGATACGATACGACCAATTAGTGGCAGAGTAGCATTAGGCTAAACTACGTCCCCTAAATAAAGAGGATTTATTATTTTTTGGGCTTTGATCATCCATAGCAACCAACTATCCTACAGAAAATCTAAGGGTGGTTTCAAAAGCTGGAATGGACTATCTAAAAGCATAAATGATGATTTACAGAAAACAATTTTTCATCCTCCATATGGACTGGAAAATAAAATGGTGTAATTTATGGTTTTTTGTAAAACCAGGGCCTAAGTTGAAAATAGTGACGTGACAGTATGTATGTATGTATATGTGCGTATATGTAGATTTTACATCTCCATATACGCACAAAACTCACTAAAATTTCGTGCAACGTGATTCTTCAATGCTTCGAAACTTAAGACAAAAAAAAACTGTATAAATCAAACTTAAATTTTATATATACTCATTAATCGAAAATCGATATCTCAGCAAGAAATGGTTATATCGAGGTTTTGAAAAAACAAATTGAAGCTAAATAAATGGACTATTGAGTCAACGCAATGGTTTAGCGAAAAAACCTTTTCCAAGTCCATGGACCTAAATAAAGGTATAAAAAAGTTTTTTCTTTGTACTCTTTCTAAGGATCGCAAGAAACGTGCAGCGTCAAAAATTTTCAACTTGGAGATCCAAAAACTATACCTTTGATGCTTTAGATGCTCATAGGACCATTTTTTACTGAGAAACATTGTACGTCAAAGAATTGCTAAACATTTACAATTTCTGAAAACAATGCAAAACAAATTCACCCAAAATGCGTAGTATATTATTCAGGAGAATTATAACCACGCACTAGTTTGTGATATTAAAAATTCCATGAAAGATTGCATTATGCTAAAATCAGGTATCAACTATCACCAATTTGCTGATAAAATTATCCCTGATTATACCAGCATGAGCACAACACTTTATACTGATTGTAATAGATGGGTCTTGATGCTTAGGACTATTTCATGTTTGTACAGAATGGAAAAATATTGTGCTTACTAAACCAAAAGATCTCATAGTTGCATTCATATTTTTAATATTCTTACCGAACATCTCCCTCAGAGTGTCCTCGTATGCGTTAGCCTCCATGTTGCCGTCCAACAGGTTCTTCACCAGGTCAAGGAAGGCTGGATAGTAGTCCTCCACTTCAATCTGAGGCTTCGGTTTCAGCCTTAACGCGATAGCGGTGCTTTCTTTGCGCGTCTGACGCTGCTTGGATTCTTCGGCAGCCATAGCGACCGCTCGTTCGTAGATTTTCGCCAACCGTTCGCAAAGGGTCGCGTGCAGCCGTAGGAACAGGTACCAGTTATTGCTAGCCATGAATAACGTATACGCCTCTTCCTGTTTTAATTGAAAACAACAATAAACATACCATATGATAATAGCACATTTTCACAGATTTATTTCAGGTTCATTCAGTAAACGTTAAACTTGCAAAAATTAGTTTTTCACAAATAACTATGAGCTGCAGAGGAAAAGTAAATTATAAGAAGTCATTTGAAATGACGCGACACCTCATATGTTCAATTTACTGCAAGTTTACATTGATGGAAATCTCGCCAAAAAATTCCATCTTTCTCATAAAAATCAGTAAATCCACAAGTGTTTATTAATATTTTTTGATCAAATAAAATTGCTTTAACTTTTTACAGGTTTGTCAATATTTTTTGAGGAATTTTTAATTTGTTTTTAACAAGCTGTACAGCGAAGTAAGGCAAATAGATCATAGGTCTCAATTTTATGGGATTTTATCCGCTACAACTCTTCTGTGGATGACTCTACCAATACTTCATATTTATGATTATCCTCGAAAAAGCGATTTGTCTACCTTTTGATGTTTAATAAAATTGTTAGGCAGCAATTTTTGTTATTCATAAATGAGTTTTTCCAATTACTTTCAAGAGTTCTACAACAGGATCTTGAATTGTTAGCCTGGGCAGACAGTGCTATATCAGTTCTCCATTGGCAATAAATCCACGAATTAATGAATCGAGTTCATGACCAAATTTCAAATATGAAACAGGAATTTGACGTCAAATAAATTATTGGATTTCTTCACGTGCTTAGAACTTGTTCTCTTTTATCCAAGTTGGACGTCAAATTTAATGGCGCCAACATTTTACACAGGGTGTTTCACAACTTATCCGACAAATTTTAACCACATATCACTGTTACGAAAGAAGTTGATTTCTCAAAAAAAAAAGAAATGTAATAAAAGTCCTACAGAAATTAACTTGGAAACCTGAGTTTCAATAATAAATTCAAAAATACATATCTGTATTTTGCATCCATTGTCGTGATATTAGGACTCGAATTAATAATTTATTGTAACAAATGTTGTAACAAACAACTGACGAAACCAAAATACCAGGATTTTTTTGTTTTTTCATACTGATAAGAACGTGTAAATAAGCTTTAATCTGTATCGTGGGTGATCTGAATGAAGAACGGTCGATTTTTGTGAAGTTAAATAAGAAAGAATTTTGGGAGTTTATGTTTTTAGTTATTTATTAATAAAAATGTCACATGTGTAAAGTAATGAAGTTAGTGGGCATTGATTTAGCGAACGGAGAAGCAGGGCAAAATTCGCGAGCGGCTTCTCGTTTGTATGCACACGGATTTCCGTATAGGCACATACCACATCACGAAACATTTAGTTCAATTGTTTTACTTTTTACGTGAACGTGTCAGTGGAGATATGCTCCCCAGACGTGGAGTGGATGGGGGTCGGGTTCGCCCACAACGCATTTTAAATGCCGAAGACCAAACTGGCCCAACAGGTCCCAGAAGTGTCACATGCAACAGCGTGGAGCATATTACATGATGCCCAAATGTACCCTTATCACGTCCAGAGAGTCCAGGCTTTGCTACCTATAGACTACCCCCTAAGAGTAAGATTTTGTGAGCGGTTGTTGCAAGTAAATGATCGTTTAACAGCTGACATTTTGGCCACCGAAGAAGCTATTTTTAATGTAATAACCAATCTTCATAATACACACGTTTGGTCCTTTGGGAATGCTCACGCGGTGGTCCAGACACACTTCCAACATCGTTTTTCTTTAAACGTGTGGCCAGGTATTGTCGATGAACGTCTAATTAGACCGTTCATATGGCCAGATCGGATGGAAGGTCACCAGTATTTGGAATTTCTTCGGAACGATTTGCTGATCCTTCTTGAAGATGTGCCATTGGCGGTCAGAGCACGAATGTGGTTTCTGCACGATGGGACACCTCCGCATTTTCTTTTAGACGTTCGTGATTTTTTGAATCAGGTATACCACATAAGCTGGATCGAAAGGGGTGAAAACCAATTGCATGGCCTCCACGGTCTCCCGATCTAAATCCTCTGGACTTCTTTTTATGGGGATACTTGAAAAAACGAGGTATACTGTACTCCAGTTCAGAATATTGAAGAATTGCGTGACCGAATCACAGTGGCTGCCGATAATTTGAGCCTTCAGCAGGAAGGAGGTGTATTGAATTAGTGGGCCGAAATTGGATTAGACGCGCCCAAGCTTGCATTGCAGTCAATGGAAACAATTTTGAACAGCTTCTATAAGTAAGTGAACTGTTAAACTGTATTATTTTATCTCGATTTCTGTAGGACTTTTATTAGATTTTTTGTTAAGAAATCAACTTGTTTCGTAACAGTGCATATGTGGTTAAAATTTGTCGGATAAGCTGTGAAACACAGCATATTTTCAATCAATATAGAACTTTGATAGAACTATAGCATCCTACAACCGTTCAAGTTAGTGGGATTCGCTTCAAGATCAAAACCACAATAAATACATACAAAAACTCCACTGTTTCTAACAAGAATTTGTTGTGTGGTTTGCGCTGTTGGTTGCAATATATGCATAATTCCATGGACTTGTGCATAACTTAAAGGTTTTCTCTAAATTTAATAGTTTTCGAGATATGAGCGTATTTGAAAAAATGCAAAACATAGTATTTTCGACAAAAAAAAAACAGAAACGACAATTTTAATGTTGCCAAACGGCCTAAAGATTCCTCAAGCATCCATAAACGAAATCGCAAAGCATTTCAGGAAGTATTGTTAATGTAAACCTTTGTTTTTTGTTACCCAATCACGCATTCTGCGCGAGAAAGATGCAGCAATATGGGCGGTCGCCAGCTGCAACTCTCTCGCACTCACGCCGAATATGTGCGACGTGTGCTTGGTTAACAAATAAACAACAAGGGTTTTCAATAACAATACCCCTTGAAATCTTTCGGAATTTGTTAATGGATGTTTAAAGAATATTTAGGAAGTCCGGCAACATGAAAATTTTCTTTTTTTCATACCCTTTTTTAGGGTCGAAAATGGCTTATTTTGCACTTTTTCGAATATTGTATCGGTTATATCTCAAAAACATATCAACTAGATACTAGTTTAAATTTTAAAGTAACGACACACTGATCTAGACATTACACTGATCCAGGCGTTATCAGATAACAAACAGTCATCAATCGTCATGGGCATGGACACATCATAGACAGCGTTAATGAACCAGAATTTATGTTGAAGGGTTTTCACAAGTTATTGAATTTTCCAATAAATATCAGATAAATGATCCAGGCGCTACTTAATGGCGTTCAGTAGTCAACTATCAACGGCGCATCCATAGGCAGGGTAAAAGAGCAAAAAAGACTTCAGAAACTCATCCTGCTTCGCGTGCAATATAAAAATAAACTGAAATCAATGAAAATAACAGACATATCTGCGACATTGCTAGGCCTCAATTAACCCCACATGACACCGATTTCACCATATACGCCTATATTCTAGTAACAGGTTGACGGTGTTTCCCTTTTTGTCTACCCTAATCCTTGTCGCTCCTGGCGAACACTATCCAGTAAGATCCTTTGGTAAGACGTAATATTTTAAAATGATAAAGTTTAAATTATACTCTCATTAAGGGAAATGAAGGTGAAGAGTAGCGGTTCCGATAGGATAATAATAAATAATCAAATGAATGCACTGGAGTGACTCCAATGGTTTCATGTTGACGCGTGCAAATCACAAATGTTGCCGTGTCGTCGCGGTTGTCTTCATGTCTCTTCGCAAAAAAATAATGCAATATTGGAGTCTAATGGCAGCAGTCCATACAACATAACGCGTCACATATTGTCTAGCAGGACAAATTTTAATATAATCATAGAAACAGCAAATGACTTACGGGATCATTGGTCTGTGCGTGCAAGGGAATTTTAACATCTTCCTCCTTAATCTCCAATTCTTGCTTCAAATCATCCACACTGCCATCAGCTCTTGCTGGCGACTTTCCCGGACTGGCATTGCCTTTAATTTTGATTCCAGGCGTTGCATTTTCTGATGAAGGTGAACTGTTGGGACTCTCTACACATTCGTCTTTTTCATCTGGAATCATTATTTGTGGTAGAAAATCATCAAATCAACTTAAACATCAGATTTCAAAAATGTAGTTTATAGCATTACTAACTTGAATTAATTTATTTTAGAGAAACAGTTCTTTTCAGATAATGTAATAGTTAAGGTATACAATCTGTAAGATATTGCCTAATCTTTTTCAATGGGGATTTCAACATTTCATTACTTATACCACTGATTAATATATTCCACCAGATACCCCTAATAGTGTAACATATATTTAATGTTTCAAATTTTTAGATCTATTTAAAAAAATAAGAGTTGCCGTTTCTAAAACGAACAATGATACCACAGTCATTATTTTAAGATTTAGAAATAACGGCCTGCATGTAGCTCTAGGATTGCGTTTAGTTATATATCTAATAGTACATTTTCGTAGAATAAGCTGTTTTTAAACAATTTTGGGAACAGACATGCCAAAAGGGAATACCGTATCTAAATCTACTTTTAAATAAGCCAAAGTAACTGTGTGAAGCTGTACATTAAGTAAGCAATTGATCTACATGATTAATAAAATCTAATTTATGGACAGTCTCAAAAATTTGGTAGCACTTCTTTTGTGTATAAATCCATTATTTTCAATTCATAAAATCAAGGAGGTATTCAACAGTTTAATTAACATTGAAAATTAAGTATTTGTTGTCACACCATTTTTGATTGTATGTATATCACTATCATTTTTTGTCTTAATTTCATTTATCTGTGTCTTGTCAAAGTACTGTAGTATCATGATAAACTATGGACCAATGGAATTTTCTTATGCTTACCATCCTCTTCCCTCTCATCATCGCTCAGCTGCTGTTTGGGGTGGAAGAACAGATCTGGTAGGAACTGCAGGAGAAGATGTTTTATCCGCCGCTTTTCTCCTTTTTGGATACCAGTTTGTCGCTTCACATGATGAATGAGAAGATTGGCTGCATCATCCAAAATTGTTCGGTCTCGGTATGGCAAGACTAAATGAGGACCAACAACTGGTTCTGCACCTTCTTCATTTTGTTCATGCCTCTGAAAAAAGGATAAATAAAACATTTGCAATTCTTTGTATTCCAAGGCATTTATTGACAACTTAGATAACCAGTCTGAAGGTTCATACTGTAGCAAAAACTTGTCAAAAATCAGGATATGTCACCTGAATATCTCGTTTGTTTTTGCACATATACTTTCTGCACTATGTACCTAAACACAACTTATTGAGTAAATTTGCTTAGATCGTAAGTGCGATTTATTTCACTGACGAAGGTGACTAAAAATATATAGTTGATTAAAAATCCACAATTTACCTCATCAAAAATGGTCTCAATCTCGTTGAAAAGGCTTTTTGAGCGCAGCGCTTTGACGTCTGTTTGCTTGAAGTTGATCCCTTGATGATCCAAACTCTTCAAATAGTACTTTTCATTCTGTTCACGCCATATTTTGTTAAATCCTTTCTGAGCTTCCCGCCATTCCTCCTCTTTAGTCTTTAGCCGCCTCAAAACGACAGGTACCGCCACCGCTGGGTTCCGCTTCAGTCCTTCAATAATATCTGGCGCCTTATCGCCGTAAATACGTTTTAGAGCACGCTGGTGCAAGGTAGGGGAGAAACCACCCAAACAATCATCCAATCTGAAATATGACAAATGATATTTGAGTGCAGATAACATAATCCAATGTTATAACTAAAGGAGAAAATAACGCATTCAATATTCATATTCAAGCAACTCACCTATATTTAGCAACTTCATCGGGATTCATCCTCTGCAACTTTTTGTTAACTCCTTCAAGTACTCTTATGGTTGAAGCATTCACTTCAATGACAACGTCCAACTCAAATCTCTCATCTTCGCATCTGTACATATACTCTTCATATTGCGTTTTTCGCGACGATACAAACGTGCTGTCTTCAGACCATGTAGGAAATGACACCCATTGATCGTTGAGTACCTACAACAAATAATATTGATATAAGTTCAATTGGTGTTAGCATTGGCAATAGCATTTACACAAGTCAAAAAGAGAAAACTAGTTGGATTTAAAATACACATAAAAGACAAAGAAACAATAACAAATACAAAACACATTAGAACAGATCACTAAAATCGTTCATAAAATCTGATATAAAAGACTTTCCTAATTAAGCATTCCTCGAGTGACTTCTTAAAATGTTCCGTATTTAGTGACTTCACTGACTCTAGTAGAACATTGTAAAACTTAATACCTTAGTAGTTAAGACCATAACTGGCTTGCTGCACGCTACTATATGGAACTACTGAATTTTGACTAAATCTGGTTTGGTAGCTATGAAAGTCCAAGTTTCTACTGTAATTGCCTACATGACCCCTGACATACAGAAGACATTCCAAGATTATATATATAAAAAAATCCAAATACCCATCTTGATAAATACATCAACACAGGAATCCTGGTACCCTAGTCCTGCTATCACCCTCACGCATTTTCTTTGTATTATGAAAACTCTAGAAGCATGAGAGAAGTGTCTCCACAATAGTATTCTATGAACCATAAATATGGGAGTGAAGGTAGCTATAGTAAGCTTGCAGAACGACATTCTGAGACACGCAGTTAACTAGAATGCAAGGGCGAAGAAACGTTTACTAAGTTTGGTGGTCAGGTTATTGACGTGCTCTTCCCAGATCAACTGTCTGTGTGTCTGACATACTGAGCAGATGAAAGCGAAGAGATTCTACATAGATATTGTTACCATGATATTCCAATATGAAATCCATTGCTTGTTTAAAGCAAGTCTATTTGCATAGAACCAGTCTTCAATGTTTTCAATGTTCATTGCGGTTTTCAAGTTTGCTTCCACTGCAGATAGACATAGTGTCATCAGCATACTATATATCTCTAGAAGTTGAGTGTTGTATTTGAAGATGTCATTAATAAAAATTATGAACAAATTAGGACCCAGAATGGGAATGGGGTTCCCTAACCTCACTATCTAAATGTATGACTTCTCTGTACAGTGCTCCATACTGTGGATCCGCATCTAGGTATGAGGATATAAGTTGGAGACTGTTATCACCAAAACCATATCTGGACAGTTTTTCTACCAGTAAAACTTGGGAAACACAGTCAATAGTTTTTGTTAGGTAGAAAAAAGTTGCGCTAGCGACGTTTCCCTTATGAAAGGTATCATAAATGTATTTCACCAGCTGTACTATAGCAATCGTTGTAGATCTCTCTTTACGGAATTCAAATTCAACAAGTTATTGCTCTCAAAGTAACTATCTGGTTGTTCAAAATAGATTCAAAAATTTTAGTAATGATAGGAATAATAGATATTTATGTATTGGTACTACTCTAGACTTTGAGGAAAAGTACTGGATGCAAAGCATTCATTTAAGATTTTACATAAAGGAGCAGCAATAATGTTTTGAATCGTTTTTATTATGTTAGAATTCAGATTGTGCATATTCTTACTACTTGAATTTGTGTAAAGACATCAAAAGGAGCCTGCAACCGGCGACTGAGGCACAAGACTAGTGGCGTTGAACCCATACGAAAAATCTGTCAAGCGTCACTGTTGAGCGATAAGAAACATTTGAGTTAAGCCTCGTGTCTTTTCATTCTATTCAATATTTGCATTTGTGTATTTCACAGCGACACTGATACATTTTTGAACGCGTTTTGTTCCCCCCTTAGTCCCGGTTTTTCAATTGCAAGTTAACTGCAACTTGGCTACTAACCAGAAGTTACCTATCAAAACAATGTTTTTCAACGTCAAGTTTGTCCTAAGGTGGTATTCAACTTCAACCAGAAGATCATGTATGGGATAACTATAAAGTTGTGGCAAAATAGCAATGTCTAAATTAATCTGCTTGACAGTGATATAAGTTGACTTGGATCACGTGAGATAAATACAAAACATAACGCAACGCATAGAACACGATAATCAAGGCTGTTTTATGCGTGCATCAACGGTTTATTGATTGTTGAAATTTGAAAAACGAATTCACAGACAACTGATAGTTAACTTGCAAGTCATAGTTACTTGACTTTACAGTTAACCAGAGATTGAAAAACCAGGACTAAGTCTCCGCGCGAAAGTTGATCTACAACAATAAAAAAATTTGTAGAGCATGAAATCAAATTTTCATTCAAAATGCTAGTATTAGTTCATTTAAATGCTTTATATATCAGATATTACAATTGTCTAAATTATTTCCAAGTTTTATTTGTAAATAATGAGTGAAGTTTTGATGATAATAATTGGCAGAATTCGAATCGAACACGTAAATATTTTAACTTGCGCACACAAAAACATAAACAGACGAAATAAACAATCAACACAGGTTTGACCGCTACTAATATACAGGGTGGCCAAACACGTGACGTCATAAAAAAAAAATTAGATTCCCCACATCGAGAGGAACCCAAATCACCCCCATATATATGGTCCGATTTTGTTTAGTTTAGGAGTTATGATTTTTTTTTCGGATTTTTCGAGAATTTTTGAGTTCTGTGTTTATTTTTACCATAACTTCGTTAATAATTGTGATAAATGCCTGCTTTTTTCACGATTATGTAGCTAAGACCTGAGGCTTAACTATCATATAATCATTCAAGTCATGTAACTAATACTACTTTTTAATTTTTTTCAAAATCTTCGAACATAACAAAAAAGTAAAAAAGTGCAACAACTTTGAACGTTTATAAAAAATTGAAAAAACATGTTCTTACTATTCGTAAGTATCTTAAAAACTTCCTTACGGTATCAACTATTTACCGTAAAAATTTCATCAACCTAGCTTTACTACATGCTACCGTAATTGTGGCTCAAATAGAACCGAACCCAAAATTGGATAACCCTCTGCTCAATAGAAATTGTTAGTTTCGGAAAAAAAAATTGCAAAAACCACAAAAACACGTTTGATTTTTACTGAACAGCAGATTATTATTCATTTATGTTATTTACAAGAGGTTTTCAAAATGTCTGCCTCTAACAGAAATGCACAGTGTACACCTACGTATGAAATTTTGTTTTAAATCTCTAAATGCTTGTGTGTTGTTTTTCAACACATGTGTCGCTTCTTGAATTTTGTTCCTCAATGAATTTTCATTTGCACATTCTTGGGCGAATGTTATGTCTTTAAAATATCCCCAAACAAAAAAATCAATGGGGTTGAGGTCAGGGGAGCGTGGAGGCCATCGTATCGGTCCGTTTCGTCCGATCCATCTGTCTGGGAACCTTTCGTTTAAGTAGTTTCGCACGATCGTTGCGTTGTGGCATGGTGCACCATCATTCTGGAACACCATGTTCCGTCTGGCTTCCAGGCTTGAATCTTCCAGCAATAATGGTAGGCTATTTTCAAGGAAGCTTTTGTAGGCTACCGAATCCAACCTTGACGGCAGTTCAAATGGACCGATAAATTCCATATTGAATATTCCTGACCACATGTTCACACTAAAACGGTGTTGAAATGTCGACGGCCTTGACTGGTGGGGGTTTTCAACAGCCCAAGTATGTAAATTATGGATATTGAATATCCATGTTCTTTCAAAACGTGACTCGTCAGTCCATAAAATTTTATCAAAAAAATCGGGATCCTCTCGTTGTCTTCGCAGCATTGTCTCGCAGAAATCCACTCTTAACTGGTAATCTGAAGGCATCAACGCTTGAACTCTTTGACATGATAGGCATGATAACCTTCTTCATGAAGAATATTTTGTATCGATGTTCGTGGTATTCTAAGGTTTTGTGCCATAGATCTCGTACTCGTTGAGGGATTCCGGCTAATTTCTTCAAGTACTACTTCTCTGCGATCCGGATCAGCTGTAGGATATCCTTCATTGCTTCCTCGTCCTGGAATGCGGCCTGCCATGAAAGTGTTATGTGTGTTAATAAAAACACGGTGGTCTGGGTAATGCTCAGGTTGTGGTCCGCCTCGGCGTATAAGTTGTTCCCGGTACAGCTGAGCTGCTAAAGCGCCGTTGCCTTGAGCAACGCCATAATAATAATGCATTTCTGCATATTCACGCAACGTATAATGCATCACAAACTTCTTAGCAAACAAAGTCCAAATCAGTATGCAAAGCAGAGTCCCGGAATATCCAATTTTTTAGAGCACGAGGTTTCGGCTGATATGGCCTCTTATTTCGTCTGCAGGTGACTTAGCCTTTCGGGGTTATTTATACCAGAACGGCTGACGTGTCCTGTGCCGTAGATGACGTGGCTGGTCGGTGGTGATGACGTGTCCTCTGTTGGTTGCGAGACAATGCTGCGAAGACAACGAGAGGATCCCGATTTTTTTGATAAAATTTTATGGACTGACGAGTCACGTTTTGAAAGAACAGGGATATTCAATATCCATAATTTACATACTTGGGCTGTTGAAAACCCCCACCAGTCAAGGCCGTCGACATTTCAACACCGTTTTAGTGTGAACATGTGGTCAGGAATATTCAATATGGAATTTATCGGTCCATTTGAACTGCCGTCAAGGTTGGATTCGGTAGCCTACAAAAGCTTCCTTGAAAATAGCCTACCATTATTGCTGGAAGATTCAAGCCTGGAAGCCAGACGGAACATGGTGTTCCAGAATGATGGTGCACCATGCCACAACGCAACGATCGTGCGAAACTACTTAAACGAAAGGTTCCCAGACAGATGGATCGGACGAAACGGACCGATACGATGGCGTCCACGCTCCCCTGACCTCAACCCCATTGATTTTTTTGTTTGGGGATATTTTAAAGACATAACATTCGCCCAAGAATGTGCAAATGAAAATTCATTGAGGAACAAAATTCAAGAAGCGACACATGTGTTGAAAAACAACACACAAGCATTTAGAGATTTAAAACAAAATTTCATACGTAGGTGTACACTGTGCATTTCTGTTAGAGGCAGACATTTTGAAAACCTCTTGTAAATAACATAAATGAATAATAATCTGCTGTTCAGTAAAAATCAAACGTGTTTTTGTGGTTTTTGCAATTTTTTTTCCGAAACTAACAATTTCTATTGAGCAGAGGGTTATCCAATTTTGGGTTCGGTTCTATTTGAGCCACAATTACGGTAGCATGTAGTAAAGCTAGGTTGATGAAATTTTTACGGTAAATAGCTGATACCGTAAGGAAGTTTTTAAGATACTTACGAATAGTAAGAACATGTTTTTTCAATTTTTTATAAACGTTCAAAGTTGTTGCACTTTTTTACTTTTTTGTTATGTTCGAAGATTTTGAAAAAAATTAAAAAGTAGTATTAGTTACATGACTTGAATGATTATATGATAGTTAAGCCTTAGGTCTTAGCTACATAATCGTGAAAAAAGCAGGCATTTATCACAATTATTAACGAAGTTATGGTAAAAATAAACACAGAACTCAAAAATTCTCGAAAAATCCGAAAAAAAACTCATAACTCCTAAACTAAACAAAATCGGACCATATATATGGGGGTGATTTGGGTTCCTCTCGATGTGGGGAATCTAATTTTTTTTTATGACGTCACGTGTTTGGCCACCCTGTATATCTGTAAAATTTAAGGGACTTTTCAAAACTAAATTATTCCTCAAATAGTATATTGGAGATTAAATATATTTATATATATATATATATATATATATATAAAGAGAATATGATCATGCGGAGAAAGGTATATAACAACAAGTAGGAAAATAATGGGCAAAATCCGCAAAAAGGAGGACAGTGGATTCGAGCAGAAAATAGGATAGGTAACCCGAGTGATACGTATTTCTGCTAGTTGGCTTCATCAGGCCCGAAATGAATGCACATATGAAACTACAAAAGTAGATACACATGCCCACACATCCGGATACGGGTGTAACCTGAGGAAACGAAGTTGGAGGGGAAAAAACGACACACGAAGTAGGTTGGCTCTTGTTGTGGACTTCGTGTGTCGTTTTTTCCCCACCAACATCGTATCCTCAGGTTACACCCGTATCCGGATGTGTGGGCATGTGTATCTACTTTTGTAGTTTCATATGTGCATTCATTTCGGGCCTGATGAAGCCAACTAGCAGAAATACGTATCGCTCGGGCTACCAACCCTATTTTCTGCTCGAATCCACTTTCCTCCTTTTTGCGTATTTTGCCCATTATTTTCCTACTTGTTATATATATATATATATATATATATATATATATATATATGTCCATTATACCACATCAAACTAATCATATTCAGCACGACATGCAAGACGGTCTGTTCTACTATGTACGAGTATGTATAGTCCTTTCACTGAAACAAAGCAGTTACGTCATATTTAGTAATTTTTAATGCTAACCTTCTTGCAGATAATAGATCCTAAATTAGTACGTACAGTTTGAATTTCCCGGGTACATTTATGTTGGTAAGAGTTTTCTATGTTGTGACATTGTCGTAAAGCTTGTCAAGTAATTACGCCAACGGCGGAACCATGTGTGTCACTGTCATTATTTGACGTTTTGGCATAACTGTTTTGTATCATATTTTAGAAAAAGAATCTTACTTTTCCCTGTTTCATTCAAAAACTTCTTTTCTTCATTCTAATCTTCATGGACTGGACAGAGTGGGACACGATCCTAATATGATACGCTATAGTGTCAAATACCTAATACTAGAAACTTATCCTGTGGTATTTAATCGATAATCCCCCTAGTTTGTCTGGCCAATGAAATTGAATACATGTGGTTTCATTGGCCAGAAAAGTATCGGGGATTATCACCCTAATGCTTGTAGATATGTATGATATGACATGTATTATGTTCAATATATACCTCTTTACATAGCTGCGTCCTACCGGAGCACTTCAATCCCTCTTGAGCCTTTGGTATGATACAATAGCTGGCACCTAGTCTTTTGGCTGTCGTCAAGTCAATCTCTAACGCATGATCTCCCTGCGGCCTTTCTTGCCGCGTAACGGCGTTATACGGCACCGCTTCAGTCTCGGTCCCTTGACCCAAAAACTCCCTAAACCAGCGTTGAAGTTCCGGAAACTTGCTTAGGAATGGATTTGCGATTTGGATTAGCTCGCTCTTGGAAACGATCTCCTGATTGAACAACGTTAGACACCTGAGGAAGTTATTGTAAACCTCTGGAGATCGGACGGCCTTGCGAACCTGAAAATAAACATTTATTTTGTGACAAATCGAAGGCTTGATAATAATTGGCGGCTGCATAAATAATAGGTTCCTCGTGACTGAATTAGGTGCTTGAAGTCGACGAGCCGTACAGATCGGCTGAAGACAAATCGCCTCACCTATAAATTGAACGGGCAATGACAGCTGTCAAACTGATTAGTAAAATCGAGTAGTTCTCAGCACAAAATCTACCTATAACCGCAGACAGACGTTCAAAAGAAAGAGCTCAGGAGATTTTAAGCAACCGATAGAATGATTACAGTAGTTTCAAGTAGTTAATGATTATTTTTCAGATCTTGTCAATTTTTGAATATATTAATGTTATCAGACGATAAACTACTCAAAAAGTTAAGGGAACAAGAAAAAATTATAAATTTTTCGGTGATATTTGACAGGCTGTATATAAACTTTCGGAGGTTAAAGATTCTAGTTTTCAGGTTTTTAGCGGAAACATTTTAGAAGCAACGGTTCTCATGGAATTGTAATAGATAACGCAAGAACTTTTTTTTGCAAAACTTTGGCATTCTTTTTAGTCCACGGGCCTCAAACAAATTTCCGCATAAACCGTACAATGGATCGATCAGCCATCATGCAGAGTTATTAAGGGTACATCGAGGTATACCTACCTACCTCCCTAAAAACATGAGCCTCCTTATTAGCAGCCCCAAAAATGCGGTCGATTTTCCAAAACAAGGCAAAAAGCAACTATTTTTTACTTTTTTAAAATCAACTAAGGCAACAAAAAAAACATTCCTCAAAGATTGCAATGAAATCTTATAGTAGATTTATTCCAGTATTTAGAAGTACCCTTACATTTTCTGTGCGATCACTGGTTACAGAGATATCAGTGGTCGATGATAAAAGGATCCTTTTTCGTTCAAAGTCAAATATCTCCCCGCCAAATGATCGTATCGAGATTTTAAAAACCGGATATTGAAGCTGAATGAACGGCCTATTTGATCCATATGATGGCATAACATAAAAAAATGGTTTCAAGCCCGTTGAACTTGAAATAAGGCAAAAGGTTTGCAAAAAAAATTCTTGCACTATCTGTTAGAATTGCATGAAATTTTTCGGCAAAAAAACTGAAAACTAGAATCTTGAAGCTACAAAATGCTTTTTTATTCAGAGTCTAGATACGACCAAATCACCGACAAATTTGGATTTTTTTCTTGCATACGGCTTATTTTATTTTAGATTTTAAAACAAATAAATATCATTCAGAGATAACTAGCTTTCAAAAGCTGTTACCTAAAGCCATGTTGACAAGCGTCAAATATTTCGAGCATCAATGTTGATTTCTGATCAGCTTTGCCGCTCAAAAGTCGGTCATTTAACCGAGTATGGGCGACGTAACATCCCTTAAAACTCAATACTGTCATGAAAATGCCATTTCATATGATTACAAATGTAATCAAAGCAGTGTAATTTAGGAACGGTTATCGATTCAACTATAATGAACAACAAATATGCTGAGGTGCAATAAGTGAACTTAGTCTAAAAGAATTCGATATGATATCCAATACAGGCACCTGCAAAATAAGCATGCAACTATATAATAATGAAATGTGGTATCGCGATAAAATCCGATAACATTCCAATATGCCTAACGATATGCTCAAACAAAACATCAAACTCACCTTATCGAAGAACGCGAAATCGTTGAGTGTACCATACTTGGCAGCGTCACTGAGACTGACGTCGCGGCCAGACGATGATGAGATCTTGTGCTTCTTTGGAGGTGGGGCATCACGATGTTGGTATCCTGGATAAGGTGGGGACCTTTTAACGGCACCACCCGACACGTGACTTGGTTTATGGCTAATGCTGTGCCTTTCCATCATATCCCTTTAAAAAAATACATTAAAATGCAATTATTTTCAATTTTCCAAAAAATATAACTTACACTCAAGTCTCAAGAATTTGGCAATCAACAGAGGTTTTAACACACTGCAAATGACATTTTAATAGGGTTTAGTTTACTATATTACCTCCAAATTATTGCTAAATTGTTTACACAGTCTGGGCGAGCAAACACTCGAATAACCTCATATGCATGCATTAACATTATGCACCTACCTGTGGTATGGCTTGGTAGTGGCTTTCTTCACGGAATTGACGTGGTCTGAAACAGGAGCCTGATTGATATGACTGGTGGCATCTGGAAGAAACTGGCCGAATTCAGCTAGCAAATCGCTTTGATTTTCGAATAGCTTCGCCACCTAAACAATAAACATATGCATTTATTAAAGAAAACATAAATGCTATAGAAACTAATAATACCATTACTAGAGAAAACATCGCGTTTCAATTTCGCACCGCCTTGTACATGTGTGAAAATTATTCCACTGGGGTGACTGAAACATCAGTAAAAACTATTTTCCACATATGTGGTTTCAATTAGAGGCCAGAAAACATGGAGTACTATCAGCAAAGTTATGTATACATACTTTTGTAAATTTCTTCCTACTCTTGCTTGGACTGTTCTTTTAGATTTTTATTCAAAAGCTCAGTCTCAAAAAGTATTTTATGTACAAAAAATAAATGTCTACAATCTTTACCATAATTTATATGCTTCAAAACACTTTCGTAACATCAGTTTCAGATGATTATAATTTCTAACATTCGAACAATTGGCTACTGACAATTTCTAAATCATGTGATCCATTGTTGTGCCCAAAACAGATATTATTCTTAAGTAATATCGTTAGCCATATTCAAGTTTGTTATTGGGATATTTGCGATATCCCTTAACTGCTATTTTCAGGACTGTGAATTTGGCGCACTCGCAGCACTCAAAATAACGACAGAGATAGTCACTATACGTCGATAGGCTGCGCGTGGGTTTATCTTCTTGAGTTAAGTATCATGATAGAAACTATCCATACTTAAAATTAGATTAAAAATACAACTGAGGGAATAATTATTTGGACGAATGGATATTTTTATTTACCTGACTATATACTTCCTGTTCTGTTAGATGCTTTCCTGCTGCTCCAGGGCCCATTCCTACTCCACCACCAGAAGTTTCCTTCAGTGTTCGCTGTTCTTTTTGGTATGTATGGAGAATCTCCAGGAACTTCTTGTATTTTTCTGGTTGTCCTTGGAAACGATTCTAAAGAATGGAAAAATAATGTTATTTCCGACTACAACAATCATTTACCAAAGACAGCATTCAAATGGAATATGCAATGTAATTATTCACAAATATGTAATGCACGTTTGTACTCTACACGTCACAACACCGTAATGTTAGTGCTTACACTGAAACGTTTTCATTGTATGAAATATGAATAATCATGATAGGTTTAAGCGGTGGCTGCTCACAATAAAACTTTATCACCTATTTATTATCGACCATGTATGTAAACGCAGTTAAGTTACCGCTTCAGAGCGCACCACTTTGATAAACGCGACCAATCACATGGATGAGCTGACACATGGATCTAGTTACATTGATTAGGAACATTCAAACACAAAATGTACAACATACACGTAAAGTAAATAAAATGTAATTACTATTCAATGAAAAATGAAAATCTTCAGTAAAAAAACATTAAAAGTTTTCTATTTACAAACAGTGGCAACAAAATAAATCAACTTCCAGCATAATTGTGTTAAAAATGAAAATAAAACTTTTGATTGAACATGTATATGTGACGCTGTTTATATTGCCGTTTTTCAGTATCACGAAAAGATAAGTATGCTTGAATACACAAATTATATAGATGCATCTGATAAAGGCAACATATTGCAACAACTATTAAAAACGATTAAAAACAAAATTACTGAGCAATCGTTAATTATATTTTCTGTCTACTGAAACATACTATGTTCAAAACATTTTTAAAATGAGCCTTGAAATAAAAAAAGTAAGGGTGGCGAGCACCAACTAGGAGGATTTCAAAGTAAATTAGTATGTCGCAGAAAAGGTTAAAATCTGACGACTTGTGGTGTTTTTGATATGAATGATGAGATGATATTTCTAATGCGCACATCTGTTATATTCATGTATAGAACAAGTGAGGAGCAACTTTTTAAAACGCATTTTGTCCAAAAAATGCTTTTTGGGTAACGAAAAATTATTTTCTATTAAACCTTGTCATATAATTTTAGGACAATGAGTTGTTTTGATAGAAACTAATACGTAGACGTTTATAAGTTATCTCCGTTAAATCAGAAAACTTATCAGAAAAAGTGGAAAATCTAAAAAAGGTTTGGACTTAATGCGTTTTGTTTCATCACAACGCATAAAATTCGTTTTCTTGCGGTCAAAATTCGACATACTGCTGTTTGTTAAAATTTATTGGTTTGACAGAAAAGGATGGTAGTGAAATTCGGTTTACAGCATTTGAAGAGACCAACTAGTATCAAGAACATATTCTTTTTTTTATTTAATTTCTTTGAAACATACAAGCGTGAATAATGTTAATAATACTTATAGTATACTAAGCACACGTAAAAAAGTTAAATTTGTTCCTGGTTAGGCTCTTTTTCGTGGCAGTCGCACATGGATCTTTCTTCATCTACATCTTTGGCAGGATCTGTAATTTCAGCGTCTGGATCTGCACTTTCAGCGTCTGATTCTGTCTTGTGTTTTAAGGCATGATTAAAAAACAAAAACGACTATGGCGGTATGTTATCTTCCCAGTGTTGTCCAAATCTTGCACAAAGCAGCTTCCAAACATCAGTTTTTTTTCTTCTTCGATTTTATTTACCAGTGGTAAGTTACAGCGATTCTGCATGTCCATTATAAAAGTATGGCCTCGTTTTATTATCGCCAATAGCTGCTTCGAAGTGTTGTCGAATATGTAGGTGGGCTCAAGTTTTATCTAAACATCAACGTAGCCCTTTTTATGAATTTTTGTAAAAAGATCCTTTCCACGTCACTTATTCCATCCATTTGTTTTAGTATTTCTCTTAAGTGTTTGTAGTTTCATATAAACCAATCTTCGTCTAGTACTCTGACAGTTCCGTATTTTGTAAATTTTAATATAAGCTGTGGGATCGAACACCTCTTCAGATTTTCGTAGATGTTTCTCAACTCGACCAAGTACCCTGTGGGCAGGTAGGTAGAAGTGGCCGCGAACTGGGAATTACATTACTGTATATTTTATGTTTCTTGGGGAGTTTTTTCTGTAGCCATAATGTTAAGTCATTGACAACGTGCTGATTTTTGTTCTGGCCTGCGCGCAAAGAATAATTTGGGTCATGGAGTTATCAATATGCAATTTGTCTAAGACGTCTACTATTCTGAAGAAATTTCTTAATTACCTTTTGTAGCTTGTGTTTCATTCCAGACATAAAAATGTGGATTTTTAGTTGCAACATTAGCAACACGCAGCTGTTTTGGTCGATATATGTTCTAACGGCGAAATGACATAATACGTTTTGAGCCGACTACATCTGTGGACAAAATGCATTTTGATGTGAACCCCATACTTTGCACGTCAATTACACAGGTACATAACGCGTCTTGGAATGTTTTATTTATATAGAAGAGTAGTACACAACAAATTATTTCAGAAACCGTTCAAATCTCAATTTTGTAAAAATTGGACAAAATGAAAAAAGTTGCTCCTCAAGTGATGTCGCCAATTTCACATATTTTCAGCCACATACTAATTTAGTTTTGATTACTCTTGGTTGATGCTCACCGTCCTAAATCAACTGAGCAACGAAACTAGATGTTGTAACGCATTTAAGGGCAGTCCTGATTTTATTTAAAGATAGTGTTAGCCCCCCTTACTAGGGGAATTTTCATCCGTCTCAAAGATCTAATCTATATCTATGCTAAAATGGCGTCAAGTAGATGTACTCTGTACTTCCCAAGCAACGCCGTTATCAGTTCATTACGGATTATGCTCAGCACAAACTTAATTTTCTGGGAAAAAACAAGTCCACACAATTAGTAACCATTTCCCTGCCCTGCCGGTAGTGCATCTGGAAATGTCGCCTCTCCCCGATATTTAGCTCTATGCTGTGTCGAGGCAGAAATACGTATGATACCATAACGAGATCAACAGAACACTCCGCAGCCGCGTCCGGTAGGTACACGATCCGTCTACCGAAAATGTTTTTCCAAATTTTTAGGGCTAATCTAAGATGTATGAAATATGTCTAATAGGTGCGCATAATTACCGAGGTTAGGAGCGTATAACTGTCCCATCAAAAATTGATATAAACCCTCACCACCCGCTACAACCCCCACACCATGTTTTTTTGCCTCTAATGTTTTTCCAAAAATAATCAGATCTTCTGAACCGTCAAAAAGTTTGAGCGAATTTTACATTTTTCGTTTCAGGCCTTTTTCTCTGTAGTCACTGGACCAAAAACTATAAATCTTTTGCGTCCTCAAGTTATAGGCGGTTATAAAATTAGCGGACAGGTCGACACACAGACATATAAGAACCCTACTAATGATATTCATCACACTGTAGTGTAAAAAAGGAGAATGAAGTGCGAGATTTTATTTTCGAAACAAACCTTAATCTTGTTGACATAATTGATGGCATGGTTAAATTCAACTGGCTGATTCTGAGGCGCGTCCGTATTGCCTTGCAGAGCATGCGTCACCGCAGCGTGGGCGGCGCTCAGTGTCAACGACCCATAGCTGCTGCCGCCGCCTCCACTGGTACCACCACCGTAGCCGCTCCCGGTCGTATGCGGGTGGCCCGGCCCCGTTGCGGTAGTTGTGGGGGAAGGCTGCACCGTCTGAGGGGGCGGCACGTGTTGCAGTTGCTGCGCCAATGGCAGCTGGGTGGCGACTGATGCGCCGGTGGGCGGTTGAGGTGGAGCAGGTTGCGGTTGACCGCCGCCCGACATGTTGATTGTGCCGGAACCTTTCAGGATCATGGCGGACCTGTAAGACAAAATGATTACCATTTTTGAAGTTTCATTGGATATTGTATCAAAGCAGTGAGAACAATTTAATTTGAGCTTAAAGTTACACAAATCTGTTCAGTTTAGTAGCCCTGGATATGTAACATCTTCATCTAGACCACTTAGGGAAACCTGTTACTGTTATTACAGTACACCATGCGAAAAGTGTATTTGATGAATTCTCTGCTTGGTGTCGAAGAAATCGGTTGGTTTTGAATTGCAAAACTTATAAATTTTAACAACCAATGTACAACTGACTTAGACCTGAATATGTATGATCTTATATGATCGGATTCTTGTGAATTACTTGGTACATATTTTAATTGAAAACTAACTTTTCATGAACGCATATGTAAAAATTTAAGTAAAACACATTTTGCCATTTTACAACTGGAAAATATCCTAAATGAAAAAAACCCTTATGAATTTATATTATATGCTGGCTTATAGCCATATGTCATAACATTATGGTATGGGGGATATCTTCCGAAATTAATACGAGTATTTGTTGCCTAAAAAAGAATGGCCAGATTAATTTTGGGAATGAAGGCACTTGACTTCTGCGGGATAATTTTCAAATCACGAGAAATCTTACTTAACATTGTATTTACATTTTGAAATGTGTGGCTTACGTTAAGAAATATAATAATGTTTTCAAATAATAATGCTCATCACAATTATAATATTAGCAACCGAAATTTAAAAATCTATCCATACACATACCACAACACATTTAAAAAATGACCCTACTATAAATGCATCAAATTATACAATAAATTTTCGGTTTAAAAATCAAGTTTAAAAATTATCTACACCAAATGCATTTTATAACAAACTGGACATATGGATGTGCAATCTTGAGTATGTAAAAAAGGAATTGGAACATTTATATGTATTATATAGCTTATTTATACATTTTTACCACATGTACTATTGTGTATATAAGTTATTAATAAAGAACAATGAAGCCTTACGCTTGATTTTTATGATGACCCAGCAGGAAAAAAGGTAATACAACTTCTTGGGAGAAACATTTATAATAGTACCTGAGATTCAATAAATGTTCTTGAGTGTTGCTGCTACATATAACATTGTGTATTGCCAAATTTTTGATTTTTTTAATCCATTTTAACTAAGTTATACTTAGGAACACTTTGGAAACTATAGCATTGTAGATGCAACTGCTAGGGAGCATTTGACAGCAATCATAATTTATACAAGCTACAAATTACACAATAACATACATATCTTTGAACGTCAACTCATTGACAGCCCCCACTCTGACACCATCAAGCGGCCCACCTATTCATAAATAATGGGTTTCTGGAGGAATAAAAATTATGAACAAAGTCAAATTGAATAATGTCACTGCTGATACTTCTTTTACCATTGATTTGCTACAATGTGTGTATGTTTTAGCCAATTATTTTGATTAATTTCCAATTGATTCTAATTTTAAATTGGATAATTAAAGGCTTAAGGTAGCGCGATTCTAAGGAGCCGTACCAGTTATATAGCGAAATAACCTACACTATATTAGAGTTGATCACTGTCAAAGAGATATGAGTGATTATACAGAGCCCGTCAGAAAGAACGCATGTTTTTCGAATGGGTACTACATCGAGAGGGCTGGTTCCGTGTCGGTGGGGAAGGGCGTGTTGGGTAGTGTTGGAAGTGCCTTTTCAGTCGGCAAGGTGGTTTGAGACGTTGAGCATCGTGTGTTCACTGTACGTCGGTACTTTCGAAATGGCGAGTCTGTCGTGAGTTTCGCGTTCACTTTCGTGTTCCACGTCGTGGGACAGTAAAAGACCGTAACACCATTTTGAGATGGGTGGAAGCATTCAACACAACAGGTAATGTGATGAAGAAAAAACCGCCAGGGCGAAACCGTACTGTTAGAACCCCCGAAAACGTAGACAGGGTGAGAGGTGACATGCTGCAAAGCTCGAATCGTTCCGTCCGTTTGCGTGCCACTTCCCTAGGGATCCATGCGTCCTCTGTACGTCGCATCTGGAAGAAGGATTTAGTGTTCCATCCATACAAAATCAACAACTGTTGCCAACAACATGTTATGTTTGCGCTGCTCATGATTCAACACTTGGATAACAATGACATGACGTTGTTTATGAGTGATGAAGCACATTTTCATTTACATGGATACGTCAATAAACAAAATTTTCGATACTGGTCTCCAGTGAACCGCCAACAGTTGCATGAGCACCCCCTGCATACCCGAAAGTTACAGTTTGGTGTGCAGTAGGCCCAACGATGATTATTGGCCCTTATTTTTTTGAGGATTGAATACAGAGCGTTACATCCACGTGCTGAACAACTTTTTTTCCGGAACTTCGACGTCGACGTGTCCGTGTCAGAACAGTGTGGTTTCAACAAGACGGGGCAACATCTCACACTTCGATGGAACTTCTTCGGAAAAAATTCCCAGGACGTCTCATTTCACGTCATGGCGATATTCCATGGCCCCCTCGCTCCCCGGACCTGTCAACGTGTGATTTTTTTTATGGGGCTACCTGAAATCAAAAGTTTACCAAAGCAAGCCTCAGACCCTCGTCGATTTGAAGGAGGAAGTAAGAAGTGAAGTAACCCAAATTCTTGCACGGATGCTGGCCGACGCAATGGGCTCATTTCGGGAGAGGCTTGATTCCTGCATTTCGGCTCAAGTGCGCCATATGGCCGACATAGTTTTTAGAACGTAAATTTTGTTTAACTCCAAAAAATGACATGTATTTCTGAGTATTTTGAAATAAAAAATATTTTTCCCATACTTATGTTGACTGTACTACTCATTTAAAAAACATCCGTTCTTTCTGACGGACCCTGTATTACAGCATGGCTTGTCTGTAAAAATAGTATAAAACATAAATACTGCATACCAATATCTCATCATCGTAAGTCTAGCCCAGTGTTCTCATATGTGATATGTCATTCATTTAACATGTTAGGTAAAGAATATTACTTTTAATGTCTGGTTGCTTTATAATGCCCTTTGATTTTGGATATTTAACATATTACTCAGCTTTTATGAAAAATGGCCTCTTGATCACTAAGTACCAGTAACTTGGTAAGCTTACACATAATATATTAGCAAAAATAGAAGCACATATTCAGTATAAACATCTAAAAAGTCCAGAAGGATATATTTTAAACTTGTTCCTCACTAACTTGATACTCTGTCTAAGCAATTCCTACTTTTTGAATGCTCAATATTTGCGATCATGGAAAAATGTATTTTAAATTAAATGTTAAATTTTTGTATACCAAAACAATTCAACATACCAAGTAACTTCATAGCTTACCTTTGAGGATCCGAGTTGATGGTGCCTGTAGGACTTGGCATGCTGACAGATACCTGAAAAGCATACCCTTGATCATTCTTCTGCACTTCAATCTTGTAGCCGGGCGGAAGGAATGTATTGAAGCCAACAATCAGTTCAGGGAAACCTTTGAAAAGGTTTGACACTCGCTGTATCACACCTGGCGTGTCAATGCTCTGACTTTTAAACTCCTTCATTATATCTAGGAAATCATTGTACACCTGTAAGATAAAAAAAAGATTGTGATTTTTTAGGCTCATATTTTCTCACATTTCCCAAATATTAATAGGCACAATGTTTACTTTTTTTTCTGTAAAGTTGTCATACACATTTAGCCAATGAGTTTTTCAACATGCTTCTACCTATGTGTGGTAGGGTGGAGTCATGTGAACATATCTGAAAGACACCTTGGACATAACTTAATAAGGTGAGTTTGAGGTATTCCACAACTCCAATAGCAAGCGAAATGCTTATGTTATTTTATTGAAAAACCTTACCTGTGGTTTGGCACCAAATTTAAACTTGACAAGGTCTAAATAGGAGAGGGCATCTTCAACTTTGAGCCTTTGAAAATTACTGCTACCTGGAGACTGTTGTTGGGGCAGCTGCGACGGTTGGGAAGGCTCCTGCATTCCCTGAGGTGGTGAACCACCACTACCGCGAAGTTGAGAGTGACCGCTCACTGAAAGAGGCATCACCTGAAAAAAGAAAGATTGCTTTGAATTGATTGTATTTACAATGTTTCTTAAAACGCTTCCCTCCATTTTTATATTGTGAAATCGTGGCAAAGGATCTAAGTTGTGGAGGCAGAGTTGTTGACATCTCCAAAAGTATGGTGGTTGAAGTGGACTGGACTATGTTTGTAAAAGGTGTCTCAACAAGAGCGCGAGATTTGAATTTGCCGCCATTTTTTTGTACAAATGGTATGGTGTTTACTTGATGACAGCTGTCATGTCCAGACCACGCGATTAGACGTCACGGAGCAGTATTCGAACGAGCAACGTTCAATTATTGTGGAAACTCAGAAAATTACGCGGAAACAGCTCACAAATTACGTACAACTTTCGGTCGCAATAATGCGCCAAATGAGTCGACAGTTCGCCGTTTAATTACAAAATTTGAGACAAAATTAATGTGAAGGCCACTGTTCGTCGCCGTCCTGGTCGGTCGCTCGAAAATATAGTCGCAGTGCGGAAAAGTGTGGCCGAGAATCCAGGCACTTCCATTCGGCATCGTGGCCAAGAATTGAACCTTATCAGACCCACTCTGCAACGAAGTTTGACAAAAGATCTGTGCTTGCATGCGTACAAGGTTCAACTGACGCAAGAACTCAAGCCAACATACCATGCGCAGCGCCATGAATTCGTTGATTGGGCGTTGGAGCACCACCAAATTGATGCAGATTTCTCGAAGAAAACCATTTTCTCTGATGAGGCACATTTTCAACTGTATGGCTACGTCAATCAGCAGAACTGCCGAATTTGGGGTTCTGAAAACCCTCGTTTAATAATCAACCAATGCATCCGCCGCGAGTTACCGCTTGGTGCGCATTGTGGAGTAGCGGAGTGATTGGACCGTATTTCTTCGAAAATGCAGCTGGAACTGGGGTAACTGTTAATGGTGTTCGGTATCGCAAAATGTTAACCGAGTTTTTGTGGTCCCATTTGGATCGAATTGATGTGAAGCATATGTCCTTCCAACAACACGGTGCGACCTGCCACACAGCACGCGAAACAACGGTGTTACTGCGGACCAAGTTTCCAGACCGTGTCATCTCTCGGTTTGGTGATCAAAATTGGTCGCAAAGATCGTGCGATCTAACGCCAATGAACTTCTTCCTCTGAGGCTATCTAAAGGAAAAGGTGTATGCGAACAAGCCACAAACAGTTGAACACCTTAAAGAGATACGGCGCGTTATCGACAAAATAGAGCCCCAGTTCTGCGAAAGCGTTGTCCAGAATGTTTCGAAAAGACAGACCCTGTGCCAGTAGTTTCGTGGTGGCCATTTACCGGATGTCCTATTTCATGTTCAATCGCAACTACTCCTCTTCATGTTGAAATATAAATACTCGCTTAATTCGAAAAGAAATTGTGTTTTTCTTGAAAATCAAATCGGGCGCTCTGATTGAGGCACCCTTTATGTGTATATAATCTGAAAGATGATATTTCCTTGCAGCAAGCTTGAAGCTCCTTATGAGTACTTTATATAAAATCACTAACTTCCAAAATGGCGGAATGGCAGACTGTTAACGTTGATTTTATTTATACACTGAATCGGCAATAACACGATAATCAAAACGTATGTTATATCAATCTTCTTTTATAAGGATCCATCCGATTTTTCTTAAGCATTTAGGTACATCCTTTCCAAATAAAATTAATATTACACACTTCAATGTTTTAATGATTAATTGTTGAGTTATAAGCAATTCAATGTTCAAAGACGCTCACATCTGACTACCCGCCGCTCTGTAAGATAAAGTTATATTTTAGGGTTATAAAGTACTGATAAGGACCAGCAAAATGAGGAGTCACACGACCCCTCATTATATTAAAAAAGATGTTCTAAGATGGCGCCCAGCCACCAACTTCAAATTATCAACTCTATGTTCACGTTAAAATATAGTATGTATTTATTCGTCCATCATTTCATCATCCTGAATTTCAGCTTGCTAACTCGACTTTTTCAAAAGATGAGTAGGGGATATGTTTGAAAAGCACTGCATGAGTAAGGTTGTTGTAAGTTTTGAATATATATTATATTCAACGCGAGTTCGGGTGACACTGTTGAAGCTGTGCAGTTCCACAGCTATTAAAGAGGCTGTAAAAGCTAAATGGAATTTTCCACCAAAATTCCGATCGTAATGTAGGCTACCCTTAGCACAATCAATTTTTGTTCCCATCAACATTCTAATACTCCACACTCTGGTAACTGATTATTGAACAAACCAGCTCCAGCGATCCGATATACCTGTGCACCGATCTGATGCGTCATATAGACAATACACAACATCAACAGCCTCGAGTCGACCGATTTCTAGCTGAAAGCGCCAGCTACTGAACTACTGAGGACCCCTATCCTACAGTATAGGCATAGTAGATTTTCTATGTTCAATATCTCCGTTTTTCAAATTGGTGAAATATAATGTACTATGTATGTAAACGTGCGTAGCTAACCCACCGATTAAGGAAAAGCTTAGGGTGCTTAGAACTTGCTTGAGTGGGTGACCGCAGGTTCTAGTTGCTACCATGAACTGTAAAGAATAATTGTTATATTCCTTATTCAAGACTTATTTTTTTTGCTGTGTTTTGTGTAATGTAATAGCAATAATGTTTCGTACAAATTCGTTACCTCCGAGATGAGATGTCATAATTCAACTGTTTTTTCAAAATGACAAACGTATCGAGGACGATATAAAACTAACTGCGACAAAAAATGCGTTGCATCATACGAGAAATGCTGCATCTCCGATTATTTGCGAGCACTGTGTTTTTTACGCCAGCCTGTGTAAAAGGTAGATTCGAAGAGACCTTACACCGAGCGTAAAATAAGTGCAGAGTAAATTCAGATGCCGAGTAATAGATGATTTCAGTTGAAGTTTGAGATCATTTGAATCTCGAACAGTGACAATTTCAGAAAATAATGGCAATTTTCCTTTAGATTAGCGTGTAATTTTATGTTGCATCCTTGGAGGGCAAGTTTTGCTACTTCTCGTTCATAGAACAAGTCAAACACTCAGAAAACATTTCTCAAAAATACCATAGGCAAAAGCATGGCAAATAATAAAACCACAACCAAGTAGCCGCGTTAGACAAGCGAATAAATTTAGTAACTTCTTACGATACCAACCCCAGGGAAAAATATCAAAACATAACCTATGTATAAAGTACCTAACCAATAAAAAGATAACAATTTTGCTTACATATTGATTGTTTCCATTGAACATTAAATCCCAATCCAGGCGCCAATCCATACTGTAAGGATTATGATTTTAATCTCAAATCTCAAAAGGTGAACGCGTCAAATAACGAAGGTTGATATCTAGGAAAAAGAACCAAAAGTAACAATTCCCCAAAAAATTCACGAAAAAAAAAAACAAGCTCTAATCTGGCAATTTATTCATGAACAGCCCAACTACTTCAAGGTTAGAAAATCGTTCGATTTATTGGATCGTATAAAGCGGTTAAAAGAGCAGTGATATTAAAAAAGACAAGGTGAACAAACTTAAAGAGAGAGATAAAAGATGACTCCACAAAAATGGCGCCCACGAAACAGCTGATGACATTTATATACGGCTTATCCTGTCAAGTCAGAAATACATGCGTTGTTGTCAGATAGATAAACCTTTTTTGATGATTTCATTGATCACATGTAGTGAACGCATTTTTTGTTCAAATTTACTTTTGTTTGGACATTTATTCATGTTGAGGGTATTTATCATATATTGGCATCCTACGAAATATATTTTTCATTCAATAAAGTTATAAATCACACTTTTTGCTAGAGAGCCTCTTCTCAAAGCCTGTAAGGTATCACATAGCTATTTAACTTTTACTACATATACCTCACGACTTCGTTTTAATAATAAAAGAAGTGCATCAACTTGAAATTCAAAAGTATTTTAACCTCAAATTGCTTATTTGACATGGTCGCGAGTGAAAACCGTGAAAAGAGCTGAACTTCCTTCTGTTTAATACAAATGTATCGTATTATGAATACTTTATGGCAGCTTGACAAGAAGGCCTCGGAAGCCAAGGACGGTCCACACATAGATCGCTGTCTTTATTTGTAAACCAGTATTAGTCCAAGAGCCAACCGCAAAGTTTTGGTTACATCGAGCACTGATATGGAATTTTAAAAACTAGTCAAATCTTACGTATTATGATGCTTATCAGTAAACTCGGTAAGCTGGCGTTTAGGATCAACATAGTATGATGATGTGACTATACCCTATTCGTAGTCCATTTACTTCCCGGCACAACAAAGCGGCAGCCGCCTAAGCGGCCTGAGTGCAGGATTCGACAGGATAGAACTCAGGCACAGGCTCGTCGTATCGCCGGCAGTAGCTGTTCATATTCGATGCATACATAGCGTATGTATACGTTAGCATGTCGTTACGGGTACAGCAGATGAAACAATATTTTTCCAAATGCTTCCTTCAGACATGGTTCCTCTTCAGTGATGTCTCCACCCCTTAACGTTTATAAGAGCGAAATTCATGATACACAGGCTTATGTCCTATGACAGTGTTCAACATTGTTAAAGCATATGAAAAAAAACAAAAAATTATCTCCACCACACAAGAGGCAGCATTACACGAAGTTGTTGGATACAGTTGATAACTTTGATCGGAATGCCATCAGACGCAAAGTCCATCAATTTTTTGAGTTACCTACTTTCAAAAGGACCAGATTCTATTGTTTGCTCAATGAACTTCATTTTGAGTATAGAAAACCGGCAGAAATAGTATTTTTATAGGCAGCCAAGAGATTATTTTATGGAGAAGAAATTATTTAAAATTGATAAAGAAATACCGCAACCAGGGCAGGAAGATTTGTTACTTGTATGAAACCTGGATAAATGCAGGACATATAAAACCTGAAGTATGGGCTGACTGGCTCTACAATTAAATCAGCAAGACAAGGCTTCTCAGATGGACTAACCACTGGCCTAAATAATCCAACTCGTCATTTGTGTTGTAAAAATGGTGTCAAGTAAACTGAGCCCACGCTGAAACTTAGCTACACTAAACTTAGCTATATCTGGTAGATTTGGAACACCTGTTAGATACTCTGCTTGTATTATTAGTCTTCTTGAATACTATATGAAATAATTATTTTCAGGAAAAGGAAAACGATTTGTTATCCGTCACATTGGCAGTGAAAATGGCTTTGTTCCCACTGACCTATGGGCATTTGAGTCAAAGAAAACGACCGACTACCATGAAGAAATGGACGGCTAAAGAATGGCTAAAAACCAAAATACGACCGTTTTAAGGCTAACCCCCTTATCACTGTGAATTAAATCGCATTGAAAAGATTTGGGCAAATATAAAAAACTATGTGGCCTCAAACAATAGAAACAATAAAATTTTCTGTTGTGAAAAATTTGTTATATGAAGCTGTCAACATAGTGACGTCAAACCATTGGAAAGATTGCATCCGTTACGTTCAAGAGACAATCGAAGCGAAGATGTGGGATCTGGACAATATGACCGATATTCAAATTGAACCTGTAATAATTAATATTAACCACTCGGACGATGATTCAAGTACTTCCAGCGAACAAAGAATTGTGAAAAGTATGTGGACTTCTTTCTATAAAAATAATCATTTATTTTGTTAGATTATTCCAAGACCGTTGAAGACCTGTACAATCTCGCTTTCAGGCATGTTGTGTTTTGTCTGGGCGTAAATGGACTACGAATGGGGTATAGTTTATATCATATTATATCAGTACACGATGATTGAAAAATTTACGATCGGCGTCCCTACTATAATGTAGATGACTCCCAAAGTCAATGGGGCCGACCGGCGGATTATAATTTCACGAAGTGTCTTCTCTTAATATAACTACTCTTTGGTCTAGGTATGCACCCTTCGTATAATTGCTAGGATACTACAGCAAGTTTTTATATAAAGACTTTTGATCACAACACTACATGGGATTTTACAAAACAAACCTGGGATGTTTTAACTGTATGTGTGTTTGGCGGCCCGTATCCGACGGGAGGCGCCGGCGGATATAATCCGGCCGATTGCATGCCTTCGCTGACGACTTTGACGGCCGCTGGCGGAGGATGCTGGACGACCGCCGCTGCGGCCACTGTCCCCGCTGTGGCTACCACCTGCGGAGGATAAGACTGCTGATGATGATGACTGGGCAACTGCTGCTGATGCGGAGGGTGTCGCTGGTACAGCACGCCTGGTACAGGACCCGATAAATTCCTGCAAATAAAACAAGTGTTTAATCGTACTTCTATATACTATATTACCCCACGATGTCAGAAGCGCCATATTATTTATAAAATATTCACCTTCGATAGATTATTATGGATTCAACAGCACCATTATCAAGGCGTCTGTTGATATCTTAGCGGAACCTTTGGCGCTCTTTTACATTTACAAATATTACCACTTCCACCAATTTTATTTTTCAAGTCCTATGTCATGTGCACAGAAATTCAAACAAATATCAATTTATTAATCAATGTAAGTAAAGAAGATTATTTTGAAAATATGTCTAATCACTACTTCTCAAAGTTTGCTAAAAGAAAATATTGCCTATTCAGTTGACGAGTATGCTGATGCTATGACGTCACTTAGTTTGTAATACCTCATATGTACAATATATATATATATATATATAAAGTAATGGACAAAAGTATATAGACAAATATGAATATTTACCTAAATACCTTTAGAAAACAAGTTCATACTTCATTGCTCCATAAACAAATGCGTTATTAGTAGAAAAACTAAATTCCTTGTTTTTACATTATCTGCAATGAACACAATATGAATATAAGCACTTTTTTATGAGGGACAAAAATATGTAGACAAATTCTTTTCAACATTAGTACAGTTTTGTGTCAGATTAGTTTGTGTTCACAAAGTATTGTGGAATAAGTTGAGTGATTTTAAGACCATGCCGCGTGGTCCAGAAATTTCTTTTGATGTGATAACTAAGATCTTTGAGTTATACAAAGATGGTCAACGTCAAGTCGACATTGCCAAAAATTTGAAGCTGAAGCGTAAAGCAGTTTGGGCAATATTGAACAAATATAATCAAAAAGCTATCTTGGAAGCCTCTAAGAGAAGTGGTCGGCCTAGAAAACTAAGTTAGATTAATAAAAGTAATGTCGTCCAAAGATCCGTTTAAACCCCAAAACAAATAAAAGCCGAAATCGAGACAAAAGGAATTGTCAGTGTTTCTACGAAAACTATAAGTAGAAGATTAAATGATTTGAAGTTATTTGGACATCGTCCAAGTAAGAAGCCGCTAATCTCGAGGAAAAACCGTAAGGACCGATTACAATTTGCATGATTGCATCTTGACTGGAGCATCTGTGACTGGAAGAGGGTATATATTCAGTGACGAATCCAAGTTCAATATGTTTGGATCAGATGGGGTTCATTACGTTAGACGTCCTTGTGGTCAAAGATTGAGCCCCAAGTACACTTTGCCCACTGTCAAACATGGAGGCGGGTCTGTTATGGTTTGGGGGTGCTTTTCGGGGTGTGGGATGGGACCTTTACATAGAATAGATGTCATTACGGATAAGTTTGTATACACAGACATACTAAAGCATGTCATGTTACCCTATATGGAAGACAATGTGCCCTTAAGATCAATCTTCCAGCAAGATAATGACCCGAAGCACACTTCAAATCTCGCAAAGAAATTCTTTTTGGATGAAAAAATACCAGTTCTCAAATGGCCTTCACAGTCTCCCGATACAAACCCCATTGAAAATCTATGGGAATACTTAGATAAGCAAATACGAGATAAAAATTATTCAAACAAGGATGAACTTTTTGCCGCTTTAGAGCAAAAGTGGAGACAGATCGATGAATCTTATATCAAGAAACTTCTACAATCTATGCCGATACGGTGCTTAGGCGGTGATTGATAATAATGGTTATGCTACAAAATATTAACACAAACATGGTTGGTTTTCTATAATTCAAGCAACTTGGCTTCTTTTTTCTATAATTGTTTTGCTTTGCCTATATATTTTTGTCCTTCATAGTTCCAGTTTATTTTCAATTAATTTTTTATTGAAGGGAGTCTAGTGAATTTATTTATGTATAAGTGAGTATTATGCTACAGCGAATTATGTATACAGGTTGGTGTATTAATAAAACAAGTTAACAAAAGAAATACAGCACAATATTAATTTGTCTATATACTTTTGTCCAGTACTGTATATATATATATATATATATATATATATGGAGGACCTATCGCAATCTTTAGCTAAACTAAAATTAAAATGTTGGGAGGAGTGACTTAAAATTTACAAGTTTTATTTAGCTTTAGACGACAAATGTCACTTTTTCAAACTTGCCTATTTTTGTTAGTCTAGTTCTATAAGCCAATTTATACTCCTGAACAAACATGTCTATTCAATTACACACTTTTGGATGTACCTAATCATTAAATATACTAAGTGACATATAAATCCGAACACCCAGTTTAAATGGTTTTATTTTAATAAAAATTGGTGAATGTATTTATCTTACTGTAAATAACAAGTGAAAAAATGTTCAGCCTTATCAGTTGGACATTCCGGTTTTTATACTGCTTTTTTTTAATTCACTAACGCTCTAAAAATGAATATTTCAGCCGCAGTAAAGAATCAACGTTGGCGGATTTTGGTTCTTGACATCCTTTACGATCGGTTACGATGCCTAGAGTACGGAGGCCTGTACGATTTCGTCAACTTAGTGAGTTTGATAGGGGCCGTATAGTGGGACTTTGGGAAGCTGGACTTTCTTTTCGGGCAATTGCAGTTAGAGTGCAAAGAAGTGTAGACACTGTGGTTAGGTGTTGTCAGGCATGGCTTCGAGAAGGCCGTACGCAAAGAGCAAGGGGCACTGGACGCCGCCGTAGAACAACAGACCGTGAAGATCGCCGCCTAAGATTATTGGCCTTAAGGGACCGTTTCTCCACTACCAGGTCCATTCCAAATGAATGGTTTGCAGAACACGGAAGACCTATTGGCATGCGAAGTGTTTACCGACGAATGAGAAGTTTTGGCTTGTTTTCATACCGGCCACACTGGGTCCTCCCTTTAACTCGAGAACACCGACGTAATCGCCTTGAGTGGTGCAGACAACGGTCACTCTGGGATCAGGAATGGAACAGTATTGTCTTTAGTGACGAGTCTCGATTTTGTTTAGGCATGCACGATGGTCGTGCCAGGGTTAGAAGGCGACGTGGTGGAAGGAGGAATCCACAGTTTTTTGTTGAAAGACATGTTGGAGTTATGGTTTGGGGTGCTATAGCTTATGGTTCCAGGTCACCTTTAATCTTCATCAGAGGTAACATGAACGCGCAGCGCTATATCCACGAAGTTCTAGAACCCCATCTTTTACCCTATCTTGACACCCTGGCAGATCCAACTTTCCAACAAGATAATGCCCGACCACATGTTGCAAGAGTCACAATAGACTTCTTTCAACATAATGATGTCACATTGTTACCATGGCCACCAAGATCTCCCGACTTATCCCCAATTGAGCACGTGTGGGATATGATGGGTAGGAGATTGCTCCATTTGCAACGTCCTCCTCATACTCTAGAAGCACTTCGAGAGGAGTTGGTGGCTGCCTGGAATGAGATACCACAGGAGGATATTGACCACCTGATCAGAAGCATGCCTAGGCGCGTTGGAGAATGCGGGTGCATCCACACATTATTAAAGGTCAAAGGGCTTTAAAGCAGTGCAATCATTTTGAAATTTTTATCATTTACTTATTATGCTTCATTAAGTACTTATACAAAATTTTATTAAAATAAAACCATTTAAACTGGGTGTTCGGATTTATATGTCACTTAGTATAGTAAGAGGAATACACGTCACTGGTCTCTGACGACCACTGCGCTGCATTACAGCCTCTCTGATAGCTGTCATCTAACTGGTCGGCGCACTGTCGGTAGAGCAGATAACATTTCTACGGATTAATTGTATCGGCATGTTTGATTGGCTTGATCTGTTGAATTTTTTTGCCATACATGTTCATAGCTCAGACGGGCTAAAATGTACCTAACATAATCCTTCATGAACTGATGATAGTATTGCGTAGCCAGTACAGAGACAACCTACTGACTCCATTTTTTAAAGCTCAGACACGCTTATCAGGCAATTGCTACTGAAACAGAAAGGTAGAATTTTATACTACCTACAGCACGTACTAGTCACGCTATTGCGTTTGCTAAAAAGCAAATACTAGGGTACCAGAGTGATTGCGCAATTTTTATTCATTAATTCAATAATTTTTCCTTCTCTTTCATAATATAATAGTTCCTAATTAAAAACAGATAAACTGTGTGTTCGAGACTCCAATGTGGTGAGCAATCATTCTATCAACAGTCAAAAAATGTGTTCATAAATTCATCTTTGTGAATCAAGGTGCGTTCATATACTGCTCGAAAATTAATCAAATGCCTCACCCCATGTCAACGATTCCATCGTACATGATAGTGATGAAATCGTAACCATTATGGTAGATTGGCAAATTTCACAGAAACATAACCTGAAATGGTCTCATTTCCATTGGGAATTGGGAGCTGTGTGGATGTTTTTTGACTTTTAACTGCTGGAATTTCTCAAACAACAATAGAAGAATCTATTTATTTTTTATTAAATTTATTTAATTGATTCTTTATATTGATCACAGGGATATTATAAAACTGTATTTTGTAGACAACGTTACCTTATCCCAATTTGTGGAAGAGGTATATAATGAAAAATTTCCGAACTTGAAGCTGTTGAAGGCAAAAACGAAATTCATTTGGGACTAAAACTCCATAAGGTCATGTTTGAGATGAGATTCATTCTTCACCATCATCAGTCATGGATTTCACAATCGGCAGAGTGGATGAACTGGAAGAAAATTTACGTCGAATACCATCTACAGGAATAACAGAAAAAAAGTCACTGCTGGACACCTAAGCCACATGCTTCTGATGTCACCACAATCAAGAAGTTAAATTTGAGAACACATGGTATAACAAATTACAATACCAAAATCTCAATGGAAACACATTATACACCGGACCTCGGTTGGCCGAGTGGGTCAGTGTCGTGCTACTGATCAGCCGGCCGGCCGGGCCGCGAGTTCGAATCTCGCCTTCGCCATGGATGTTGTGTGTTTGTTTTAGGCAGCAGCGGTGGCCGCAGTAGTAGACTCTTCGGTCTCCTGATCAGTCGCCGTGCGCTGTGCGGGTTCGAGTCCCGTCCCAGGAGAAATTTTTCTCTTGGCTATGGATGTTGTGATTGTCCGTAGGTGGTAGATGGTCTCTGACTGTCGAACGCGGAGGTACCACCCGGCGGATCTCGTAGGCGGAGCCAGAATGTGTGCATGTTGCATGCACACGTGTTCCCTCGCCAGAGTCCGTGTGGCGTCCCCCCTTCCCATGTATCTCCCTATAGCCCCACGGTAACCAATGGGTGCTTAGGCCTTAGGCCTTCGTGGTAGTTGGAGTATAAAAAAAAACACAATTTTTTTTTGCTCAGAACAAGATTTAGTTCTTAGAAGGATTCATTCTAGATCGTTATGCATAAAGACCATTTTTATAACTGCAGGGTTAAGAGGATTCAAACAGTTGATACAACAGCCATCAGAGTATTTTGTAATGTTGATACAAGAGACACTAGAAAATCTACCTAGCCATGAAACAAAAGATGTACGATTTTTTTGATAAAGCCAAATCCGGAAAACAGGCAGATGGTTTATCTCAATGAAGCTGCATTCCTGTACAATTGGTTTAATTTTGGCAGCCTTAGGGTAGAGACCTAGAGACCCTTAATGAACCCACTGCTTGGATTGCATTTTTGCCTCAGTATCCCAATGATGCACCCAAGTGTCGTCGCACGTCTCAATTCGACAATTTGTGCCAAAAAGTTAGAATAGTTGGTAAAAATTTCCACTTTACAAAATGTCCAACCTGCGCAGTTTTTGTTCACGTGTCAACAGTCGTGAAACCCACCTGGCTGACACCTTACTCATGTTCAAATTATCATTTATTTTATGAAAACTGCGATCCTCAAATTTCAAGCAACTCATTTTTTCCTCACAATTCACAAACTAATTTTCAAAAATAACTAAAAGTTTGGAAGTAAGATTAGAGCAGACGCCACTATTTTACATATACTTGTGCGTTTCAATAGTTTTTTTCATGGCTGGGTAGACTTTTTTTCTAGTGTCCCTCGTATACGTCAGTCAGTAGGTACTGTATACGTAGTTTCAAAAAAAGTATATCAGGCGCATTGATTCATTTTTTACACCGAAGCAGCCGCGCAGGTAGAAGCCTAAATGCCAGTGAACCGCGGCTGCTGTGAGGAGCTTAAAGAAACTTTGTTAACCGCCTATGAGAACCCTGCAACATCACTTAATGTCACTATCCATATGATTCGAATGGCATTTGATAAACGCTTTATTACTGTCTTTTCATGAGCGCGCCCAATGCGACACTAATATTTTTTAGAACGTTTCTCACCTATCAGCTACTATTGACAACGGGGGAGCAGCGCTACTAGCGCCAGCACCGACGACGCTAAGTACAGCGCTACCAGCTATTATACTGCTACTACTTGCTTCCTTCACTGCTTGCTCATCCACGCGCAGCCGTTTCATTTCAAATTACATCGAGACGGCTGCTGAAACCAAAATCAATCAATTAGAATCGTTTTCATTTATGCAGCAATCATTTTAAAATGTAGGCCCAATTTCAGCGTCCAAAAAATTATTCGGGATGAAATGAGATATATTGGCGACCTCCATAAGAATTTGTCTGAGCTGTGTTTCTCCTCTCTGCAATAATTAGAAATTTACTTTGAAAAGTTAGTGTCTCATAGATGGCGCTGTAGCCAACTATATTACTATACTGAATATAGTAAGTAGATCAATTTATAGCTACGACAAATTTACATAGATGACATAATAATACCCCATTTAAGCTCGAACAATTTTTGTTCGAGGGAATAGAGTACTAGGCTGGCTATATCTTCACGTAAAATGCGATACTCAATGGTGTGACACAGACTACAGCCTATTTATAGGTTACAAGATAGATAATGATACAGATGGATAACTTCAATTTTTAACGTCATAAAAGCAAAATCAAATTATGTGTAATCCTTTTTGCACTACCGATTTCTTCAATGCTTTGATCAGTAAGTTAGCCAGCGAACACTACTTTTCCTTATTTTTATCATTTTTGAAGAGGATTAACTTCATGCAACCGAAACAGTAAATGTTCTGCCTTGCATAAAAGAGGGTATGCATGAAAAAGTTTAGTTGTAGAAATGTTTGAATTACCATTCTGTCACTTCTAGAAGTCGAGCTTGCGCAGGTGCACATGTACTAAAAGTTTATGGTCTCAGCAGACCTTTGCAAATCTATTTTTTAAACCAAAACGTAAGCGGCCAAAGCAAGAATGTGGGTGTCATTCTTTTTACACACATCTTACTGCTACTACCAAAAAATTAAGTATACTTGCCATGTATAGGTACGTGTAATTGTTGTATCCTTCATGTGTAATCAATCGTGCAAAAAGGTTATTTAGGTCTACTTAACAACCGTAAGTTTGTGTGTGTAGCCATCAAAAGTCTTGTTTGTGGCCCGCGTACTGCCCAAAATAAGTTCAATTTACAATAATAATGTATACCATCTGTTTCCAGTTTAATAGACCTAGAGTTCTAGCAGCACGTTTGTCATCATCCAGATTTAATATTTTTTTATAAGACTTGTGTTTAAGACTTTATAGGAAATCCGAGGAATGAGTTTATGCTTATACAGAAAACTTAAGCATTGTGAGACGTGTAAACCAATGTAACAAAGTAAGATACCGCAGTTACCAGACATACTTATTTTCTCAAAGACGAAACTTGAGGTATTTAGTTGCGTTTATATGCATGTACTTTTAAAGCCCATGTATCTGCAAAACTGGATAATGGTCCGATTTATAGATACCGGGTGAGTAAAAATAAGATAACCTTTATATAAATTCTCATAACTAACTTTGATATTGCACCACTTGTACTGGGTGATGTTTCCTGTCCAATGATTTGTGCCATCTGAAGACTTGCAGGTAGATCAGCAGTAGCTACGCTAGTTGTGCTATTGTACAAGTAGGTTTTTTACTAGAATATTTGGTACCTACGATGCAGCTATTGACCAATCCTTGTATTTGGTGCATGGGGAGTATGAAACAGTGCGTCGATATGGCGAGATTAATGTTTTATGAAAAATGGTTATCGTCACTAGCACTCAGTGGCTCCGACAGTCAAGCAGCTCTGATCGCAGTTGTATCTCTGAGGATAAGCTCACATGTAATTTAAGAATGCACTACTGCAGTTCAGAGTTTAGCCTGATCCAAAGAAGTGACCTTGCTTTGGGTCACTGAACACAGCAGAGTGCCGGGAACTAGAGAGCTGATTATCTGGACCTGGCCATAGGCACCTGCAATGGTCCAGAGCCTAAGTTGGGCAGGCGCGTGCAAGCTACTCTGAATGAATAGGTACCTGGGAAAAGTGTGGCGAGAGAGAGAGAGAGGGATGAGAGAGAGGCAAGAGGTTCCTAACCTCACAAACGTCCGACGCACTGGCTACTGGACAGAGGTAAAGAACTGCTCAATCTTCTGATGTGGTCCTCACTGGCCACTGTAGGCTGGAAGTCACTTGTCCCATAAAAAAAAAGGCCAAGAGATTCTATAAGCCACATGTGCTTGGAGGAGGTTTAGACACTTTGCCCCATATATTGCAGCCTCCAAGAAAAAATATTCAGAGCCACAGAGTTTGATAATGAAGCAGAGTGATCAGTACTTCCTTACCTTATGTAGGACATCAACAAGGTTCAACAGATTAGGGGATACGCATGTGGAGTACAGAGTTAGTACACTGTGAGTCAGCAAAAAAGGCTAAAAGCACTACAGCACTCAAGCTCAACCACTAGGTTGAGTATGCTTTGGCAGAACACTACAGGTAAATCAGGATACAGTTTCTTCATTCAATATTCAAGTTACTAGTGTTTTACATTAAATGTGGTAATTCTGCCAATAAAATATTTTTAGGTTTCATCCATTTCAGAGGAGGAAGCAATGTCTGTTCTTCATCTATTTGATGTCAATAACCAGCCTATGCTTCCAGGTTACCCATCATGCATAATAAACATGGTGCTCACTATTCAAGGGGAGAGGAACAGGAGCAATTATATCCAATTTGCCTACTTAAGGGGAGATTATCCTACATTTTCTTCTCAATATATCTTTTGTCGTAACATGTTTGCTCTCATCCATATCTCCCAAAGCTTAAGGCCTTAATAATGTTTCGATGTAAAATAAATTAAAAAAAAATAGACTCAGTTGACAAATAATTGTTATTGGCCAGAGCTGCTTTCCAGTGACCCTGTTGAGTTACTTTGAGTAACTGATTAATGCTCAGTACCCAGCATGTTGTATTTCCATACACTGTCTCTGGAGCAGTTCGTGAGTGTATCACTCTCAAACCAAAAAAACACTGGAAAGCAGCTCATTTTAAGGAGTTGGAAATAACCAATTTTTAGTTTTACTAGTTGGACAACTGATGTAAGTACTGGATTATTCTGGGCTTATTAGACTGAAGATATATATATTTCAAAATTCCCCATGTCGGCAAGGACACATAATTCTGACGGATCCGTCAATCCCAGGTATTAGGGCCCAGGCCATATTTTGTTTTGGTTTTTTGTATGCTACGAGGGATGTCTTTCAAGTTTTGCATATGGAAATAAAACAACACAGTAGGTAGTTTTAAATGACTTTATTGTTTTTCGAAGTATTCTCCACGAAGATTAATACACATCTGCATGCGCTCGAACCAATTTTTGAAGCACTTATTCCACTCGTTTTCTGGCAGATCCAAAACGGCATTTTTGAATGCGTCAACTGCTTCTTCTGGTGACTGGAACCTTTGACCACGCAGTCTGTTTTTATTATTATTATAATTCCACGTTTTCTTCCGTTAAATACTGCTTTGTTTTTTAGCTGTGTATGAGCTTGCATTGTCTTGGTGGAGGATGATTCTTCTTTCGGAGTTGATTTTTCGAAGCTTTTGGCAAACAAATGATGGTATACCAATCCGCAGTAACAGTTATTTGCTCATTAAGAGGAATTGTTGCAATATGACCCGCTTTTGACACAAATGTCGCGACCATCTTTTTCGAAACACTTTGAGAACGGATGACTTTTGTTGGCTTTTCTTCACCTTGGAACACCCAAACAGCCGACTGTCGTTTATTTTTTGGTTCGTAACAGTAGATCTACGATTCATCACCACTAACAATGCTGTACACATTTTTTGAGTTTCCGGAATTGAAACGGTCAGCGTTTTTTGACACCAATTAACCCTGGCTGCTTTCTGCTCTTCAGTCAACAGGTGGGGTATCCAACGAGAAACTAATTTTCTTACTCCTAATTCTTCATGTAAAATTTTTTGAACTGAGGTCTTTGAGATCTTCAAGGACGCCTCAATCTCGCGATATGTCACATGTCTATCTTCAATGATGAGTTTGAGCACAGCATCGACGTTTTCCTGGGTGACTGCCATTTTTGCTGCACCCACCCTGGAATCGTCGCTAAGACTCACCCGTCCACGTTTGAATTCTCCATACCAACGGGAAATTGTCGACTGATGGGGGGCTTCGTTGCCGAAAACAGACAGTAACTCAGCAAGGCATTCTTGTTTCGATAATTGTCTCTGAAAGTTGTAATAAATTATGGCGCGAAAATGTTCTCGGTTGAGTTCCATTTTTCTAATGACTTAGTGACACTTAAAAATTCACTGTAGTAAGAACACTGCACGTATTTTTGTGAAACTTTGAATTTAAGTTTACTAAAGAGTGAGGTTAAGATTCAGTACAGACGTTCGATCCGAGCGTCCCAGCGACCTACTATGTTTCTATATGCAAAACTTAAAAGACATCCCTCGTACAGATTCATTTTGTACTTGCTAAAAGCCCTTTTATTTAGTAAAGTTAATTTGCATACAAAAAATAAAATGCTACAAACAATTTTTTGCTAGATTTACACCTGATTCATTATAGCCATCATTGCAGACTAACACAAAAATGTCACTAGCTGCTCAGCTGTTCACCTCAGTAGACGTCAATGCGAGTATCCATCACGGTAAAATGACGGATGATTATTTAGTAATATCTCAAAATTCCCCATATCGGTACAGGACACATAATTCTGACGGTCGTCAGGTAGTTAGAGCCGTTTTTTGTACACTACAAATTCATTTTCTACTTGCTAACAGCAAATAAGTTTTACTAGATTTACACTCGATTCATATATATATATGGGCATTTCTCCACTAACTGGAAAATAGCTGTTTATATAATAGGCCTTATTATTACTAAGTTCTATGTAATAATAACGATGACTTATTAGCTATTCTTGATACGTCATTGTTCATTTTCTTGTATAATACTGTAATATTAAATTTAATGCAGTTCAAACACCTAAATAAACATTCCCCTGTCGTGTCCATTTTCAGTAGGAGGAGCCTTATGACAAATGTTTGTTACTATTAATGGAAATTACTGATTAAATTATATATGAATAAAACTGGGATACACTAAGTATCTTTAAAAATCCCAATTATATTTTTAAGAT